TTTCTGATCCTCCTGGTTGTGATCTTGTCCCTGTCAAATCAAGTAAGAAAAATACAGTGTTGTTTTAAAGTTGTCTTGCCTATTGCTTAATCTGAGGGATCATGCTGCTTTCTTCTCCACTATATGTTTCATGCATTTTACTTCCCCTCACTGTATTTCATACCTTTCATTCTTCTGCAGTGGTACTTCTTCCTCTTTATTCATTCAGCAATCATTTATTGAAAGTCTTAACTGTTGTGTAAGTTCTCAATGCCTTTTAAATAGTATCCCTTTTTACCATCAGAACTGTATGGCACATGTAATATTACTTTCCCTTTGTATACAGTAGAAACCTAAAGCATAGATAGTTTAAGTATCTTTTCTAAGATGTTATATAAATTCAGTAGGTAATTCTCTGCTCCCATAGGGCATTCTAGTTGGTAATGAGAGATATACAGATATATAAATGAACCAAATTCACAAACAAGTAGGTATCAGAACCCTAACATAAAGTAAGGTGATATTGAGCATCTTGGATTTTATTTTAGACTACCTACCTACAAAAGCCTCTCTGAAAATTTTTTTTTGAGATCTCTAAAGAAGAAACCTATATGAAACACTAAGGAACTATTACAAGTAATGGGAACAGCCAGTTCAAAAGCCGTAGGGCTGAAATAAGTTATAGGTGCTAGAGCCCAGAACTAGGAGGTGAATGTATATGGATCATCAGAGGCTAGTTAGAGAATATTGGAAGGTAAGGACATGCACATAGGATTGCACAAGTTATTATGAATGGTAAAAGGGAAATAGGACACTTTTCTATATGCAATGGAATATAATTTTATGCAGGGAGTGATAGATTTATACGTTTTTTAAATTCCTCTTTCCACTCTGTAGAGAATATATGATAAAGGCATATAATGGAAGTAGGAAGACCAAAATGAAATGAGGTGTTTTCTGGAACCCAGACAATTTCTGAGTCTTTTGGGCTCAAGTAGCGATAAAGGAGATTAAGAACTGTCGATGGGTTCAGGATATGTTTTAGAAGTAGCAGTAATAGGCCTTGCTTGTATATGAGAAGTGCAAAATTTTAAAAAGATAGACATCAATAATAACTTTGAGACTTTTTCTTGAGTAAACTGAGACAGTGATGGCACCATTTATTTTCACCAGGAAAACTGGGTGAACAGGTATGGGTATGAAAATAAATCAAGAATTCTGTTTACGCCATGTTAAGTCTGAGATGACTATTAGACCTCCAAAGAGAAATGTCAAGTTAGCAATTTAGTATGAATCTAGAGTTCCAGAGAAGCCAAAACTAGAGATATATATTTGGAAATTTACATCTAAAATGCCTTGAAAATTTTCATATACGTAACTTACTTCCTACAGATTATGCAACCACTCCCACTAGGCTTGTCTTATCTCTGACTACAGGAAGATTTTCTCTGAGCTCAACCTAAAGGAACTTTGCATCAGCCACGTCCTGCTCTTGCATTTTTCTATAGACTAGTTTGCTAACTACCAGCAAACACTCTGATTGCTTTTGAAAGCTCAACTTTATTCTCAATTAACTTTAATTAGTATTGTGTTTGAAGTTTTGAAGCAATTAATCCCACCATACTTCACATGCTATCATTCTTTGACATTGAGTAAACCATACATTTTGGTTTCCTCTATCACCTGTGGCATTCCATGCCCATCCTGGGCTCTGCCCTTTTTACTTGGAGCTCGTTGTTCCATTCTGTATCACAATTATTTCTACCCTGTCCTCTGGAATCTATATTCAATGATTTTAAATGTCTCTTTAATTTTCTAAACTGTTTTACAAAAATCTTTTACCTCCTCCTGGCCTTAGCCTCTAGACCTGAGATCCTAATATCAAGAATTCTAAAAGAGGGCCAGATGAGGATAGAAACCTTGATTTGTAGAAACATGGATCAATACAGTGGTGTGATTGTGTTGATGGGTGCATGTTTCCATCAAAGCTCCACTACTTGGGGATAGCAGAAAATAGTCTACACCTTCCCACATACTCCAATCATTTCTGAAGGTTCTCTTTCACATGGCCTGTTATTATCTCTTGGTAAGAATAAAGCCCCTTGATCCTTTACCATATCAGGAGCTCCTAATTCATTTATCTACTTATTCCCCTCATATCCACCAGATATTTATCCAATTCAGGTACTGAGCTAGGCCTTGGATACCTGTAAATTGTTAACTCGAATAGGCAAGATAATAAGAATTTCCTTTAATTTTGACAGAATCCACCATGTTGGTGGCCTGTGTCATAATGAAGAAAGACTGGATGAAGAATCAACCATCTAGAACCTGTTACCTATTCAATAGGCTTATCTCATTTTCCTTACTATTTGTGTCTATCTACTTACTGATGTTATGTCTTAACTTGGTCAAATATGTAATGTGTATATATTTTTCTTCCACCTTTCTTTTAATCTTTGTTCTAATTTTAAAGCTACACTTAAAAAAGTTCAGTATTATAATTTTTTTGTTTGTTTTCACAGCATCTCTTTGTTGCTTTATATTCATCCTCTAGTGATTTTATCATGAAGGGCTTGTGAGTACATAATTCCCTGAATTTTTTCATGTTTTAAAGTATTTTCCTATATCCTTGTCACTTGAATTATATTTAGCTGTATATATAATCCTTAGCTCATATTTTTCTCCCTTGAGTGTCTTATAAATGTTACTCTGCTCTTGACAAGTCTGATGCAGACCTGATTTTCTTTCTTTTTCTAATGACTTAGTCATTTTACCTTGAGGTCTAGAGAATTTCTTGATCTTTCAAGTCTAATAGTTTTCTAAAATAAGTCACAAAACTGACTGCTCAGGAATAACTCTTCCAGATGTATGGTAGGTCCTGTCAACATGTAGATTTAGGTCTTTTTCTTTTTAATTGCAGGAAACTTGTCCTGATTAACAGTTTTGAGGATTAGTGCTGGTCTCATTGCTTTTTATTCTCCAGAAACTGCAATAGTATATATGTTGGATAATTTATTTGTTTCCTGTTACCATGTTCTCCTTTGATCCATTTTATCTTTTAAAAAAAATTCTGCAACATTTTTGTTTTGGATCTTCTCAGTTCTAGCCTCCAGTCCCCTTGCTGTCCTTTTAGTCTTCTTTATTCTCTGCTGGGTACTTTATTATTTGGTCTTTACTTGTGAGATCATTTTTCATTTTCTTTTTTTCAATTCTCTCTCCTGAGTTTTCATCAATTCCAATTTATTTTTATCCTGAGTTTTTTAATTTCTCATTTTGCTGCCTATATCTGTAGTTGTTTATTTTAAATTTGTGTTAATATTATGCTTTAGTATTCCTCTGCTTCATGACTAGATATTTAGAACTTGCTTGCTATTGTTGAAAATTTCTCAAACTGTATAGAAAGGAATAAGTTTTGGGTAGGTATCAGAATTTTATCTTTCTTTTTCATGTTTTTTGCATTGGATTTTCCTGAAACAGCACTAGCAGGATATCCTGAGTAGTGGATGGCAGAGAGGCTTTTCTGAGGCCCACTAGATTTCTCAGATTAAGGGCTTTCCCTTATGTTGTTACAGTGAAGGGAAGTTTCTTTTATAATGGCACCTTTCCTTTGTCTGTCTTCTCATTCTTAATTATTATCCTGTTTTCATGAGGTTTAAATACTTGGCTTTAAATACTTTCTGCTTTTTCCTTTGACACTCAGGCTCTGAAGATTCCCCCACCTTCCAGAAGTCCTCCTCTCTCCACCAGCAGAGGCATCCCTGCCCAAGACCACTACTTCTCACCCCATGAACCCCTCGATCTTCTTTCTTTTGGTCCCACATCACAGGTGCTCTGCCTTGCCAGGTCTCATCTTCATTCAGGGGGGGCCCTTTCCTTCTGAGGCTTGAACCCTAATTGGTGCAATCTATGTTATACTACCACAAAGCATCTTTCCGTATTTCCTTCTCTTCTGGGATACACCGACCTGAATCTCAGCCCCACGATGCGCCCCAGAGCCATCTTTCCCACTCTTTGGCGTGTTAGTCTTTTCTCTTTCTTCTAAACACCCTAAGTGTGGGCTCTGTGTTGATATGTACGGCTTGTAGAAGGATGTGTGTGGACATTCTAATACATACAGCCAGTACTTTCCAGACTATTTTTCTCCATCAGCTCCTTGAGCTTAAATTCTACCCAATTCTAAGAGCACCAGTGCAAATTAGGGATCAGCTCCTCAGTCCAGACCAGACCCTGCTGTGGGAGGAATGCTTAGGAGCCGCTGACGGTCAGGTGCAGACACGTCTGACCGGCCGGGACTTGTGCTCTCGGGGTCAGCTCACCGGGGGTGTGGCCACCGCCAGCTCCAGGGGTTCCTCACATGACACCCAAGGTGGGGCTTAATTTTATAATGGAAAAAAAGTTAGCGAGTTAAAATATAAAATTGATCATCTTACAAGGATGGCCTAAGGACAAAAAAAAGTTTAAAATAAGAGATTTCCTTCTGTGGAAAATAAGAGAATTCCCCCTTCCTTTTCTTAGTGCATTTACTTTAGAAAATGCATAACTTTAAATTCTTCCAATGTTTTTGAAATGTATGTAAATCTTTTTTAAAACTAAATAGGCCAGCTCAATGACTCAGGAATATCTTTCTCAAGGACCTGGGCCCTATCTCTTTGAACGGTAACGTCAAGGGCGTTGGCACCCTTATCTCCCTTTACTTTACAGCACTTTCTCCTGCCATCAAGAGAAGAGAAATTTTTTTTGTGGTATAAAAGCAGTTAACTAACCAGATGATCACCCCAATTACCATGTAAATACAGAATAAACTATGTGTAATACATGTTGCTATCAAGTCCTCTTATTTGGGGAAAAGTTATTTTTCTTGAAAACATGCATGTAATGGATTGTGTCTGCTTGGTGAGAGTTCTTTCTGTCTTTACCACTACTTAGTGAATTACCTGTGATTCGCATTACTTTTGGTTTAATCATAATTCAATAGTGATACTGTTTTATCTCTCTTCTATCCTTGTGGACAGGTTTTCTCAACTGGGACACACTGTTTTCAATTCTTTTTCCTCAACACCTGAAATATGACTGTTCTTTAGTCCCCTAAAAACAAATATATCCCTAAAATTTCCTTCAGCTTACTTAGGTCTCCAGTTTTTGCTCAAGTTGAAGCATATATAGTCATAAAGTAGACACAGTCATAGTGCACTGATCATAATAATACCATATTCTTTTCAAAACAGAGTGATTCTCTTGTTTTATTATCCCATCCAACCTGTTCCCTTACTAGGATATATCCTGTTGGGTTCCCACTCCAACACTTGTCACGGGACATTTCCTTGGCTTTGATTATCTCCTGACGCATATTTTTTGCTTCTATGCACATAAATATTCATTTCTCCTGCTCAAAAATCAAGTTCTAAGAGAGCAAATATTACTCTGCTCATTTACTATGTTCTCTGGAGCACTGAATATGATAGGAGGCACACAATAAATAGCTCTTGATATATTTCAGATCGTCTGTTTTGACATTATACAAATAACAATAATATTAAATTCCCCAGGGAACTTGTCTCTGATAAAATTGTAACTAAAGAAATCACATTTCTCTTGTCTGGATTTGTTCTGATTATGTTTTTTTCAGTACCTGGCGCTCCGGAAGTGTTTTCACCGGCAGCTCCGGTGGTGGCTGCATTTTCCCTTCCCGTTGTTCCTAATTGAAAAGAACAATAGAGCATGGTCATGCCGGGGTTGCCAGAGTTAGCAAATAACCATGCAGGGCACCCAGTCAAATCTGAATTCCAGATAAACAACAATCACATTCCAATTATTGCATGGGACATACTTGTACCAAAAACTCTCCATTTATGTGAAATTCAGATTTAATTGGTACCCTGTATTTTATTTGGTAACTCTAGTCCACATAGACAGTTTCGATAAAAATGCACAAATTACCCATATTCATTTGACCTAAAATTATAGCTACGAAAGCCATAGCCAGTGCTAAATTCACGTAAACTTCTCATAAGAACTTGGAGTTCCAGATAAGCTCCTGGAGCTCCTGCCAGAGTCCCGAGGTCAGCCCTGCCTGCCGGGCTCCTCCTGGGCTGGAATCAGGGAAAGGTGGCCGAGCTGTGACACCGTCACCAGTTTCAGCGGCAGTTCTAACACTGCTATTACCCCTGATACATACATACACGTTACTGGGACAATCCAGTGTCTTAGTGCTTTTGAAGGGAAGATTTGGAGAAACCAGAAAGTAGAAATCTTCTTGAAAATGTTCATCATTTTAAAACTATTCTACATCTTTTGTGAATTTCACCAAGTGAAATCAGCAGGGCTCTTTTTGACTAGAGTCATGGCCCCTGAAGGACGTCCTCTCGTCACCTAACTTGCCTTCTGGTGATGGTGCTCCAGAAGTCCCTATCAAAATAAACAGGGAATGTGCACCATGATCTTTGATTAAACAGAATAGACCGTGCTGGTCTCTGCTTTCGAAATACTTTTCATATCTTTGTTCACACTTGTCCATTTCCAGTTCATCTTTCCAAAATTGATAAGAATCACTTGGATTGCTTATTAAATATTCAGACATACTAGCCCAGTGGTTCTCAACCCACGTGACTCACAGGAACCAACTGTGAGGCTTTTAAAAACTTCTGATGCCTGGCCCCGTCCTCCAGGAGTTCCGATTGGTTTAGTCTGTACAGGGCTTGGCAAGGATGTGTTTTCAAAAATTTCTCTAGTCAGTTCTGATTTGTAGCCAAGATGGCAACCTATGACCCTGGCCCTACCCCAGACTCATAGCCTCAGAAGTAAGGCAGGAGACTTGGAATCTGAAATATAACGTGCTTTGCTATACATCACCTTCGATGTTAGAGAGACACTGCCATCCAGCCCATAAGCGCAGGGACAGTCTGGTCATGAATAGGTGCATTTACTAATGACTAGTCACTCAGAAGCCACAGGCGACTTCCCTAGGGTCAGTGAGAAGGCGCTTCAAGCCTCCCGTTTCCGTACCTGCGGTGCCTCCTGAGGTGGTGCCTGGCGTGGTTGAGCGTCCGCTTGGCCTCTTGCTCCTAGGTGTTGCTGTGAAGCTCTCTGATACTCGTGGGGCCCCTAACATAGCAGCAGGGAAGGTATATTACTTCTGGAGTTGCAGGTTCTACATAGCATCCTTGTTTTCTACTCTGACAGAATCGGTGTTTCTAATGTAAAAGAAGCCTTTACATGGCCTGCAGGATTTCTGTGGCGAAATGGTCTAATATCACATAGAGCTTAATCTTTAGTTCGTCCTGTAATAGATTCAGTGCCCATCTGATAACAAAGAACCATTTAAAAAATACCCTAGACATAAATCAACTCATTTCATCTTTGAAAAATCCTCTAAGGCAGGTAGTTATTATCATTCCCTCCTAAAAAGGGAGGTTCAGTGACCTGCTCCAGGTCACCCAGCTGGTTGGCAGAAAATCCAGGAGCCAAGCCCAGAGGTGATGCTGGACTTCTCAAATCATCTGTGGTAAAAGAGCAGCAGTTTGGTCAAATTTCCAATCTGCCCTATATTGATGCTTTAGAAAAAAGCCATGAAAACACAGAAATGAAATTAAAAAAAAATAAAACCATACAAAATATAAGCTTTTGTTCAACATATATAAAATTGCTGTGTCAAATCACTGTTTCCAAATGCTTATTCTCTGTTTCAGTTCTTATCACAGGTGGATTAGTAACAAATAGTTATGGATGGCACTCATTTATGAACCGAACTTTGAGTAGCCCTGCTCAAAACCACCGTATCTAACTGCCCGATAAACAAGAGAGATGGCTGATGGACTTGTCTTTATTATCAATAATTCTGATTCAAATTTTAGGAAATATAAACTTAGTCATCATCCCACAGTTTCAGTCAGTTGACTGATCTAATTAGAATTAACAAGTGTCTTAATCTGTACTGCTATGGACTATACTTCTTAACACTTTTTCATGCAAACTATATCTTCTTCCAAAAAGTATTTTACATACATGTCAAAATTCATCAAGCTGTACATAAAGATTTGTGCATTTTATTGTATGTACCTCAACTTAAAAAGAACACAAGTATTAAATCAATAAATGTCTAAGGAAAATAAATGTAGGAAAAATAATATCTAACCATGGATTTGTTGAAAATGCATAAAGAGAAGTCTCATGCATACACTAAAGAAATGGCTTTTGATGGCATGTAATGGAGTTTTGATTTATCCTAAAATAGCAATTAAAACAACAGGAGGATTTTAAGTAGTGGAGTAATAAGATGACAGATGAGTTTTTAGAAGTTTGTGCTGGCCTGATACTGACTGAAGTATAAACTGGGAGGGGAAGCAGGGCTAGAATGGAAATGTCCTCAACTTCGATGAGCATCGACTGCCCATACAGTTTGTTAAAACACCACTTGCTGGGCTCCACTCCAAGAGTTTCTGATTCTAGGCAGGTGCACTTAAAAATGTGCATTTCTAAAAGGTTCCCAGGAGATGTTGGTATCTTTGGTCTGGGAACCACACTTTAAACATCACTGTGTCAGGGCAGGCAAGCTAGGCAAACGACTGCAGAGACCAGGTGGAAAGTGCTTCCCTCCTGAGCAAAAGTGGGTGCCAATGTGAAACAGAGGAGAGGACATTTAAATGGTTCTTCAATTATCAACTGCTTGCATAAAGGCAAAGGCGTGAACTCCGGCTTGTTTTTAATCAAAATCACCTATGCCTAAAAAATGTCAATAAATTGTTTATGAAACCAGTAGCTGAAAGTCAGTGATGCACAAGGACAAGAATATTCTCACTGGCTTTTCCTGGACGTATGTTCTTACGCGCAGATGGCAAACTGTGGAGCTGTTACCGAAGAGGCTCGGGGTTCTGGGTCCTAATCCTGCCTCTACCAGCTTTGAGACTTCTTATTATTTTCTTCCTCATGGAAATAAAGACACCTATGTACCTGGTATTGATGTGGATTGAATTACATGTTACATATTTGAGCATAATTCAGAGACTTCCTTGTGCTGTGGAAATACATCACTGTTGTATTAATATATAAATATTAATTACTGAATTTTTTTTGCCAAAGTCATCAGTTGCCACGGGACCCCTGTCATCCCGTGCTGTCCTCAGGGCACAACAGTGCTCGGCATGATGTGAAGGACCCCTTGAGGCAAGAAGCTGTGGGCGAGATGGCACGGGACTCTACCTGTTGTGAAGTCACCTGTGCTTCCATCTTCACCTCCCGTGGTGGCGCCTGATACTCCAGTTGTCCCTGATTAAGGTAAAGAGAAAACCAACACCTGCTCAGGAACCTGCACGGGCGCCATGAACTCCCCAGGTTATGGGTGTATAAAATGATGACAGCATGTTGGGCTCCAGGAAAGCAATCTGCAAAAAAACTGAAGATTCTGCATCCTAAATACCTATAAAGAACTCCTAAGCCTGATATCGCTCCGACGTCAGGTATCTTTGTTTTGTGAACTGCTGTCCTGGGCAGTGCGGTCTGAAACTGGTTGCTCAGCCGTGGCTGGGGGACTTTGTTCTGAACTGAACTTACCAGTTATGTGCCAAGGACTAGTGAAGATGGTGCCCATTATTCCTGTGGTGCCTGGACTTCCAAACGTGGAGGTGATGGGGAGCGGAGTTCTAACAATGCCTAAGAAACACAGAAAATGCACTCTCATCTTTATTACCAGCCAGCGATCTGACTGTTCGATGTGATTGGACCCAGTAGTGTTCTGCCCAGAGTTCCCCAAGATTTTCTTCTCATATTACTTTCCTCTGGAGTCTGGTTTAGTCCCTGCTATTTTTCTTTCTTTCTTTTTTTTTTTAACACAGTTGTGTTCTCTTTATCTTGAGTCACATTAGGTCTTCATACATGTGTCTCAACAAGACTGCTTGTAAATAAATGGAACCTTCTGCCCTTAATCACACTGTCACATGGGGAAGATAGTAACAATGCTGAAATATTATCATAAAATAGTTAACTGATTTTACAGTTAAAACTCCTAAAAGGGCAAACTGTATCATAAATATGCACATGTTGCCTCTCACTGTATATCTTTAAAAATTTTCTTAAATCTTGCTATCATTTAATATTCTTGTAGATGCTATATTAATGGATAATTACAAGGAAGAAAATAAAACCTGAAATCATATTATAGCCAGTGAATATAAACTGGACAAAATAAGTGATACTCAGTTTTTTTAAAAAGTTTAAAGTCTGTGAGAAAAGCCCAGTAACCCTGTTTGAAATATTTTTCAGAGGTCAAACTTCCATATAAATTGTTCCTTAAAAAACTCCAAATTCCTTAAAACCCTAATAACTTGTACTGTTAGATATTTTTCATCTATAAATATACTAACCTGTAGTAAAAGGTTGACTGAGAGGACTTGGTGTTGTTCCTGATGAAGAGAGAGAGAGAGAGAGATGATGTGAATTTTTCTGACCTCAAGGGAAAATCTTAGAAACATTGTTCATTTGTTAGGTTTCAATATTTAGTAGTTTGTGATCTACTTAAAGTTGTGATCAATGCTGGTCAGTGACAAAGCTGTGATCTACTTAGAGTTGATAATAAATTTTTATTTTATTTTTAAAAGAGTGACATATTATAGTTTCCAATGTGTGTGTATGTGTGTATATGCTACATACATACACATATGTATGAATTCAACTAAATATTTAGTCACTGGAATAAAACGATATCAATGATGACCAAGTTAATTCTTTGTTAAGCAGAGGCTGATCTTGCAGCTTATGATCTCTTGGGCTTCCCTTTATCTCTGGGTGTCTGTGCCTTCACCGTTTGTCTGCTAAGTAACATTTAGTCTAAAAGGGTTTGGGGCAGGGGGCAAGGAGAAATGCATTTTGGGATTTAGTTTTATGATTTGATATAGCAGGTTTGTGGAGACAAATTTGAAATACCAGTAAACTCCTAAAGGGAGAGGCTATATTTTTGCATTCCCACTGCCTGCCCCAGTGCCAGGAATGTGGTAGGAGTTTATTAAATATTTGTTGAGAATGCTGTTGGACTTAAAAATAAGCTTCTGTCAATCTTTGGGTTTCATAAATAATGGAGTCAGCTATTTTCTGTATCTCTGTCTTCATTTCCATTGAAAATCCTGGGAAATCTGTTGTGTATGTGGTAATGCCACTTTACAGTTTTAGTGTTTTGTAGTTTGAGAAAGAAGAAAAAGCTTCTCACACAGTATCTCTAGTAAATCCTCACTCTTTGTCCAGCCACACTGGCCTTTCTTTCTTTCATACCTGCTATTTGCAGTTTCCTATACTTGGAACACGGCTCCTCCCCTCTTCGCCTAGTTAAACCTTTATTGGTCAGTTCTCGACTCAGTCTCTTCCTCAGCCTTTCCTGACCATCTTGACTTGATCCAATCTTCTCTCCACCCACCCTACTCCAATTTTTAAGCACCTCATAGCTCTTGTTATTAATGCAAGTCTCCATTTGATTTTGTAATTACTTGATTGACATCCGTCTTCTTGGCTAGACCACGGGTTTTATGAATGCAGGGAAAATGTCTCTTATAACTCCTTTTATACTTCTAATGATACATCATAGGTGCTGGATAAATATTTGTCAAATGAATCAATGAATGAGTGAGTGTAGTACCTATTTTGCATATGAAGAATTGGGCTCAGAAAAGTTCAGTGATTTGTTTAAGATCAATGCTGGTCAGTGACAAAGCTGGGACTAAATTTTAAGTCACCCAACATCTAAGACTATGATCTATATGGCTTTTTAAGAAAGGCTGCTTCTATGTATAATACTCCACTTCATGTAGTTTGACAGTGTTTTCACTACACATTCACCATATTAATGGAAATATTATAAATTAGGCTAGAAATTATAGAATATAATATCTAACAAGTAATAAATGTTATTTCTCCCCTGATTACTTCACAAAATGGACATGGGTATGTTAGGTAGTTTGAGAGAAGGTTCATTTGAGGATTTCCAAAATCGGTGTCAAACTTTACTTAGAAGAATTTTCAAATCATGACCAAACAGACTCCACCAGCAGAGCAATTCAGACCTTGATGTCTTTTCTCACTAATGAACACAATAATTGGACATTTGAATTAAAACATCATTGTGATCGAGCTGCAAGGATAGCATAGAGAGACTATTATGCTATGGTCCATGGAGACTCTCAAGACTGTGATGATGTAGAAGGACAGGCCCCAGTCCTCCAAAGATATCCTGCTGCATGTTCCGTTTCCCAGGATAGTCCAACCTTTAAGGAATTTCAGTGATCCTAGTCTGAGCTCTTTCAAATTGAAGATGATTGCACTTAGTTAAAAGCAGTATTACAACATGGTGCAGAATCAAATCTCCAAGATGTCCACATTGGAATATGCTCTGATCAACGTGGGGTTAAGGGGAACATGGTGGCACACCATTGATAGTGGAGCACAGGCCACAAGTATTTTTAGCATATGGATGAGAAAACTCATTTATAGGCCTTTCCTTGTGATTGGTGTGGCTGGCACGGCAACATGCTCCAAAGTGGATCTAAAGGATGCATCCTTTATTAGGGCCAAGAGAGTTACCAAAACTAGCCAAAGCTTGAATGGACAAATGCCAGTCGGGCTACTATGATATAGCTCCCTTTTCCTTCGAATAAACTTCAGAAGACTAGGTCTGAAATTGTTGATACAGCAATAAAAGTAAGGAAAAGCTTTAACTAAAAGGAATGTATGAGAATCTTCTTTTCTTCATGATTTAATTACCAAAACTGATAAAGCATTACTGTTCTCATTAACTTGACGTCTGTATCTATTACAATTTGAATTGATTTCTCCATTACTTACAAATGTATATACAAGTTAAAGTACTTGACATCATGAATTACCATGTAGCAGCTTCCTTGTTACCAAGACACACGGTAATAGGAAGAGATGCCTTTACCAAAATACTGACAGCTCTGTGCTTTATTAAGGGTTAGTAAACATCCTAAAATCTTTCAAAGTGACTGTGTCCAGTATTTCTACCTCATACTAAATTTAACTGAAGTAATTTAATTTTATCATTTTAACCTCACTTACTTTTCACCTCATGGTAAACTTAATAATTAAAAGAAAACCTTGTAATTAATTTTTCAGCTACCACTGCTTTTTTAGTTAGTTCTAAGAACCATTTCAATTTTTATTAAAAAATTTATTTTGCCATTTTCCTTCAATGGATTGCTTTTTATTTAATATAAATGTCTGAAAGATAAACTTAAGGAGTAGTCATAACATTTTCCCTAATAAACAGTAAATTTAGCTCTGAAAAGTTTATAGTTCTGAAAAATATTTTATTTATGAAAAACATTTTTAAATCCATAAAATTGGTTTTAATTCAGGAAGCAATACGTTTCTCGTTTATTACTGAAAAAATACTAAACTCCTTTGCTAAAATCTAAGCTCATTCACATAGTGATTATTCTTTATAAAACTGTTAATAGAAATGAAGTTGACTTTACTAAGTACTTAATATGTGTTACACTAAGCTGAACTATCAGATTTACTCTTCTCAAGTCCTATACTGTAGATACTATATTTTTCCCATTTACCAACTGAGAAAACTAACATTCAGAAGTCTTTGAGGGACTTAAATTAGGGTCATATAGTACTAAGCAGAAGAGAAGGGACTCAGATTCTCATTTTTATGGTTTCACTTCCCACTACATTCAACTGGCTCTTTTATAATAGCTTTATACAACTATTTTCTTTCTGCGTTTGATGTTGTTTTAGAATAAGCGCATTATGCAAACAAATGACATTTATACATAACCTGCGGTGTAACATTCTAGGATTTTAACTTTTTGAGAAAAGAAAAAGAAAAATGCATTTTAAGATACCAAATTGTTACATAATAGAAAACCACTTTCTGATTATATGAATCAGTATCCATACAGTCAATGAGGTTCTTTGAGTTGTAACAGAAACTTACTAAAGAAATTAGAAAGTTTAACACAAGTCCTAACTTGAAGTTAGAATCTGCAATTACATGCTACTACTTCAATAACTGATTTAAATTAAATTAAATTTTCTTCTCTTTCTTAAACATCAACACAGAAGCATTGGGAACTGGAATCCAGAAAAAGATGTCCTGGATTTTAACTTCTCTCTGCTACTTATTAGCAAGTAACCTTGGACACATAACCTCTTTATTTTTCCATTTCCTCATTGGTAAATTGTGGAAAATAATGGTACCCACTTCATAGAATTTTCTGTATCAAATGAGATAATATGTGTCCTACACAGAACAGAGCTCCATTAAATGTTAGCTCTGTAACAAGATCTGTCCATCTAAACAGCAAAAAAAATATCCATAACTGCATCATTTTTCTTCTAAAAATAAAATACTATTAGGAATGGTTGGCTAGGCTTCTCTTGGAGGTATTTTAACCCTTTGAAAGCACTTACTGCAAAGAAAAGAAGTAGGCATATAAAGCATGGAGAAAAGCTTAAGCTTTGCATATTGTTTCCCTTTTTACTTTTACTTTTACTTTTAAAGTTTTCTATAATGTTTTTCTAAGTTTTCCAAAAATGCAATTCATTGCTGTGCTATTTACCTCAAAGATATGTACAATAATGAAATCACACCCTAACTTCTACCCAAGATGCTTGGGTGTGAAGTCAAATAAATCATCTATCTGCGTCTGAGGACCTAGTTATTGCTCCTCCTGCAGGAATACCTTCGATCCATTCGAGAAATCTCATTTGAATGTGTGGGGAAAAGCTTTAAAATAACTTGTTTCACGCTTCTAAATTACAAGTAAAAAATAAAAACAAAAAACAGCTAATGGCCAGGAAAAAGTATTTGATTCAGGGAAACATTTGACCCGATGCTTGATCAAAAGTACCTCTAGGGAACAAGCTAGTGGCAAACGGCTGCCCCCAGTCCAGTCTTTTGTCAAAATAAATCTTACCTATCTATGTGCTCAAGAATTACAGGGTCTTACACCAAATTGAATCTTAAGACACAGAAGAAAACAAAAGCAGAAAAGCTTTGACTAAATTAAATTAACCCAGTAATCATATTGGTTCAACTCAAAAGAACTATTATCGAAAATGAAATTACATTTAAAACACTGAGACTGTAAACTAAAATTCTGGGTGAAATGGGTTCCCATGTCAAGGAAAGAAATCCCCTACCTATTGTGGGCAGTTCACAGAAATGCAGTACATATTCAAAAATGATGTGTCTTCCTGGCTACATTATACCTGGAAATATGAAACTTTTGATTTTCAGTCTCTATTTAAATATTTTAGTTGATGTATGCTATATTTAGAAATAAATCAGAAACTTTGCTAGTAATAATGACTAAACTCTTATTTGGGGGTACATTGTCTCTTATCACCGATCAAGTGAGGTTTGCCACCAGAAGGCTAAAAATCAAAAATCATTATGTAGCAATGGATTTGTCACGACTTGTCAAAGGCTATCATACTTTTTCACCATTAATGTCAGTAAAAGACATGGGTCGTGATGACTTTCAAGCCTACAATTTGGGCAAGGCAATTGCTCCACAAAAAGGAGCTTTACTTTTTTTAAGTGTTCTAAAAAGCACTTTTAACTTATTTTTAATACAGCCTGATGCTCACTGGATGAATTTAGAAAATTGAATATGTTGATTCTAATATGTAAGTTAAAAAAGAAAACTATTTTAATAAAAACAAAAGCCTTCGCCATGTAACAGGCTTTCCGATTCACCTACCTGCTGTTTTGCTGCTTGGTGTTGTAGTCCCTGGGATGGAAGCTGCGGAATTGGAGAAAAGAATGTAAACAAAGTCAGTTTTGTGGAGAGGGAAACATTATGTTTCTGAGAACATCTCGTCATACATAAAATGGATCAACTTGAAATTAATGTTTCAGAGAAATTTGACCATATAGGTGAAGCAATGTCCAAATGTGCAACTAACTTTTGAAAACTCACAGACAAAACTGGTCTCCTAAAAATGTCATTGCCAAGCTGTAAGATTGCAAAAAGAAAGTGTATTTTGTTTTTTTGGAATAGACTCTTGATTATGTTATTTTCGAAGATCATGGCTTACCTGTGGTCGGGCTGGTCGTTAGCGGTGTCATTGCTGTACAAAGGAGGAGATAAATATTTGGAAATGCATGTTAAAATGGTGCTAACAGACAAGACTAAAACGTATGCATTTAGACATGCTTAGATAGTTCTAGAATGCAAATAAATGGTGACAGATAAATTCATTTATCAGATGTTTACACATTTCAATATAGTTCTGTGCTTCTCTGCTCACTGCTTTAATTAGAAATCTTTCAATTAAAGTTACCATTCCTTGGTAAAAGAGAAATTGTAAATTGTTTTCCAAGAATTTAACATAGACTTTTGTTTGGTAGCTACTTTATACAAATTAGTAATATGCAGGCTGCTCTTTTCAGCACACATGCCCTCTGAATAGGGAAGATGTTCTTTACTGACATTATAAATGATATAGACTCTGCTATCTGGCATTTAGGAAGTGAATAAATAGAAAATGACAAAGTTGAAGAAAATGTCAGAATTCCTGAACTGCAAATTCACTTTGCTGCTAATACAGATGCTAAAAAGCAAATGAGCTTTCTTTTTTTTTTTTTTTACCTGCTTCAGTGCTTAATGTGGAGGTAGCGGTTGTAGTAGACACTGTTCAGGGAAGATAATATTTGTGAAAATAAGTTACTTGCATAATTTTTGCTGGGAACCAGTTGCCATCAGCTAAATAAAAATTCCTGAAATTCTGTACAGAGGTTAAGTGACAAAACAATCTTTCATTTAAATTAGTACAAATAACACTTTATAAACGAATTATTTTCTGTTACTACCATTTAACCAAAACCTCACAGGAGCTTTGCCTAGTCTACTTATGGGCCAAGAAATAAGGTTCGGAACCTAACATGACACCTTAGCTTTAGGCAAGTGACCAATAATAACTAAAACTTAAATAGCTTTTTACAGATGATCACATAATTTTAAATATATTATCAAAACCTAAGGATTCCAACTTACTGTACTATCTCTTAATTGACACAATCTCTAAATACTGATCAACAGGAAATCCCTCCTTGAATCACAAATGACAGGAATATGGAAGTGAACTACACCAACTCTAAGTGTACTTATATTGCCAGTAAAAGTCCCAAAACTAAAATTAAACTCTGGGCATTTGCCCAGAACTCTCTTGAATGAACATCACTGAAACACCCTTGTAGCTTACAGCAAATTCCCAAGTTAGGAAAAAGGAATTAACTATCTATTCCTCTGTTTTCAAATTTCCAGCGTTATCATGATTTTAAAATATTTACTCACGGGAGATCACGTTTGCTTCCTTTCTCATTACACTTGTTCCAATTCTCATCTAAAAATGTCAAGCTTTGGATAATAATATCTAACTAATAAGCTGAAATAACTTAAATGTTATAATCATATCCCTAACAATTCACAGGAGTAGAATGAAGTAAGATTTTGACTTATTTTCTAGTAACTGTTAATTTTCATTTGAAAATTTTCTATCAGCAGATTTAGCAGCATATCCTTTACTGGCATAGATTCATGTGAAACTATAAAGGATTATCCACAAAAAAAGGAAATCAGAAATACACATTGAAAACATAATGATGATGTTACCTGTAAACGTTGCATTTGTAGGAGCGGTTTCTGAAATAAGCATAAATTGCTATTATTGACAGGAATGAAAAATTGTAGAAAAAAATCTGGTTCTCAGGTTGCCTATGTGTTATCGTTTTAAAATTTTATTCTTGCAATGTCTAATACACAAAAGGAGTTGCTCATGTATTCTTTTGAAGCTTATTGAGATGTGTTTTTCAGACAGGTTGCTCATGAGCAATCCTTCCGGTATTTAATTCTATCTGTATTGATCCTCACCTCCCGCTCCACCTCTTTATTAAAACTGTTTTGTCTGATGTGTTACTCCCTTAATTCCCAGAACCTGCAGAAGGCAGGTGACACCTGCGGCAGGAGAGCTGCCCACCTGCCAGCTGTTTGAAATACATGGGCAGCACTGCTGGGAAAGCAACCCTGCAGGAACAACCACACTGGAATAGAACTGTGTCAACCCACGAAGGTGCAGCCTAAAGCGTCCTGTACCCATTCCTCGCCCGCTGTTGGTCTGAAAACCCTCTGTCTTCCCTCTCTTACATCAACGCGAGTGAGTGAAGCATACTGACTCACCGCTGCACTCCAGCTCTCCCGCGATGCAATAGCTGAAAATTGAATCGAGAAAGCAAAGCAAGAATGAGGTTGAAATTTTCACTCCTCATGACACTCATCTCCCAAATATAAAACAACAAACTGTCTAACCGTGAAAATCACAGCTGAACCAAACTCTGAGAGCCGTGCATAAAGGTTTCCCCACGAGATGCTACGGATTCAAATGGCTTATTTTTGCATTTACTGTTATTCCTCATCATCTCTCTGAGGATCTTTGGGACCTAAAGAATGCTCTGCAGTCAAGCTGAAAACTTAGTTCTTACATTTTCAGTTTCAAACAGGACGGTATGTGATAGTCATGCTGCGGTGGCACAGACCTCACCTCTGTGCTTCCATGCTACTGTCTGAAAGCCTATAAATGGGATCTTACATTTACAGAATTAAAACTTTCCTTTTACCCAAAACAACATCGTGACATTTTCTATTCTGTCTTCTGCATGAAGGATAAAATCTAACAAACCACTTGCTAACATGTAGATTTACTGAAATTACAAAATAACTAGTATAACTGATATAAAACAACCTAAAGCTGGCCTTCTCGTTTGAAAATAACAGAGTTAAAAATTATCTACACATCTATACATATTTATCTTCTTCTCTAAATGAAAATGCAAGGAACAGAATAGCTTATTGGAACGTTAGTAGACAGTGTACCATATTCTTCCACAGTTGTCTTGGATCACGCCCCCTGCTGGTATGATGTCATTATAGAAGCAGCTGCACTCAGACAGACTGACGCATTTCATGGTGTTCTCGTCCAGATAGGGGGCGCTGTCTGGACACTTGGCGTAACATCCTGTAGGTAAAAACAACCCACCGGTCATCTGTATTTACTGAAACTCCGCTGCATCATGTATTTGTAAAGTTGGTTGAATAACTCCATGAACAAAGTAGATAATAGCAAAGGGACATCACTAAATGAAAACATGTAAACTGAGTAGGATTCACATACTTTTGCAATGAAATAACAACCTAAGAGCTTACAAAGTTTGGCTGACTTAGATTTTTTCTAACATGTTTCCTAAAATATCTTTAAATGATTTGCTACTTTCATGATGGGCATGAAGTTGAACATAATACAAGGCTTTGATAAATACTTATTGTGAAATGTGATTTCAATTCCAAGTATCTATTCATGCAAGGGTAGAAAGGGTAGCCCGAGATAGAGAAGGCAAAATAAAATGGGCTGAAAAGTTCCCAAGGTCAAGAATTTAACACACATGTGGCCTTCAGAAAGCTTTTGTATCATCTGGTTTTCTTGCCACTTCTTTTCCTCCCTAAAATATGAAATGCTAAGATTAAAGTGCTGTTTGAGTGTAAGATATAGTTAATTGGCCTCTAGCCAAGTGAGACTACATTATACATTGCATTCTGAAACTACATTCTCAACAAACTACGTTGTCTAATAAAAGGTATGAAGATTGACAAGGGTCTCATAGCACTCTGCCCTTTCTTTCCTATGAGTGGATATTTATGTCTCCTTTCTTTTCCTATAAACAGATCATTTATGTCTAGAGAAAACGTTTCTAATGCAGAAATATTAATGTCATCATAAAGGTAAGTCACTATTCATTAAATCCAAAATGTAAGACACCAAATTGGAAGAAACGAACATTTCCCACTTTTAAAATATCAATATAATTTGCACCACTTCATGGATATTAAAGTATGCCTTACCTTCCAAGAGTGCAGAAAATTTCTGACCAATAACTCGATCTTTGCATGTTTTTGCAGTCACTGTGCCACAAGGCTCATAATGCCAGCTGCATTCCCCAGGTGCATTATAATAATCACAGTAGACCGCTGTAATTGGATTATACCAAATTATTTCCATTCATTACATGACAATTTTCACCTTCCTTTTTCCAAAAAAAGCATTTTTAAAATGGATTTTGGATGATATTAACAATAAACAGACCTAAAATACATCATTCTGTCTTACCAACTTCCTGTGGCTCTATCTAAACTGCCATATAAGCCAAAATAGCTCACAATACGGGGGAGGCGGGGGGGGGAAGATATACAGGGTCAAAATTGCACTTTCCTTTGACATCTTACACTCAGAATGGTCTGAGATGGAGAAGTAAACATTAATTTTACCATTTTTTGAGATATCTCAGGTCACAGTCTAGATTCATAGTTTTAATGTCCAAGCTCAAATCAGGAAAATAAATCTCTGGGAAAAATAGGTATCTTCAACACATAAATAAAAGTTCCCAAGTGAGTTAACTAAAGATTTCAATGTAATATCATGCTATGCAAACTGGAAAAAAATGGAGATTCAATTTCAACATTTCTCATTTGTCTTATTTCCCGTATAACACCTTCCTTGAAGAGGAAAAATGTTGACTGATTCCTATTAAAGTTATCACGTTCCATACCTATCAAGATTCAGTTTATATTCATTCTACAGTGTACCTTGTCTAGGGCTCTATAAAAGTTTTCAAGATAACGTCTGAGGACTTCTCCCAGAACCAATACATGAGGTAAATGTTCAAGGATATGTGACTGTACCAAAATAAGAGTACATTTTTCAGTTAAGTATGACTAAGAGATACTTTCCTTCAGTATTCCATTTTTTTCTCCCCATGAACAAACGCAGGAACTGTTGAAACTAACATTAAATTGGATGTACTGCTCCGGGTGCTGCTATTTCACACGGTATTTTCTCCATCGGAAATAAACATATTAACATGTTCTAAAATCTTGGTGGACGTAAGACTAGGTCTCGCACGCAAAGCGAGAGGAAGGGGGCCACCGACGCTGCTGTGCGGACGGACTTCACTTACGGCAGAGGTCGGGCCTCCTCCACGTGACGCAGACGCCCACCGCGCTGCACGCCTCCGCGTACATGGCCACGGCCGTGCAGAAGCCCAGGTACTTGCCCTCCATGTCGCAGGCGCACGCCTCTTCGATGCAGGCGTCGTAGTAGGCGTTGGGGTCCACCTAGGGGAGCAGAGCCCGTGAGCCCCGGCGGCGGCCCGGCCCACGCCAGGCAGCCGCGGCGCGCGGGGCCCGTACCTTGCCGTGGCAGTCCCGGAACGTGCTGTCCCGGATGATCTCGCACTTGCGCACGGCCCAGGCCTTGCAGTACGGGTTTGAGTCGCACGGGAAGGTCTGAGCGACGGTGTCCGAACATTCTTGGCTTGTCTTCCAGCTGTTGCCGAATTCCAGGGCTCCGGCAGCTACGGATGAGTATCTTGTTGTAAAGTCGTCCTTGAGGTCGCCGTTGTTGTTACCACAGAGACCACACACTTTGCCCTGTGGAGACGGGGAATCAGCCAGCATGTTTACTTGGGAGATAGGTACAGAGCTACAGTAAGGAAGCAGATGACATACATACCGCAAAATGATCTAGTATAGACTAAAATGCCCTAAGAAATAATCATATTCACTAGCCTCAAATTATGCACGAGTATACTTATAGGTTCTTAGAATATTTGCTGCAAGGAATACATTTAATTCTATCTATCTATATACCAACTATCTAAAAATTGCATTATGCAATAATTTATAGTAATCAAATATAGTTAAACTAGAATGCCTCAGGTTTGTTGCATTTATTTTTGTTTTTTTTCAATCAGATCTATTTTACATTTTTCTATCAGAGTCTATCTTCTTTGCATTTCTTAATTCACGACAAGATTGAATAGTTGTGGAGGGATTGTTCTAGAACAGAGCTTACAATTCATTCTACTTTTCACCTGTGAGTATGTCTAATTCTCAGTAACAGAAATGACTTTGCTTTGCCATTAATTACTTAACAGTGATATACATACATTCCAGCGTGGATCCAATATAACAGAAACTCTTGTATTTTTGTCCCAAATTATGGTTAGTCCACTTAAAAACTTCAGAATCAAGTAGAGGCCAACAGTATGTACAGAGTATGCATTTCTGTTGAGTTCACATTCTTTATCTGTAGTTTTTATTGCCGTTACTTTACCATCATGCAAGACGATATTCTGATCCTGTAAATTAAAAGACAGACTTACAATATCATCAGTTTTACTTGACCACTCGTAATCTAAGAGAAGTAAATAAAGTAAAAAATTAAATAAATAAAGAGAAATAGCACTGTACCTGGAAAGTAATTACGATTTTTCTTGAACATGTAAGCCCATCTTCACAGCATGGAACGCTTTCAGTTAAAATACGGAATGTGCCATTTTCACGACCACAATAATCCTTTAAAAAGTAAATGATAATAATAGTTTGTTACTATCAGGGTCATGGAACTCAGAGTATTTGTATCAGACAAATATTTTTTAGATAGTGAAATAAACTCAGTAAATTACCGTATGCCATGTTATGAAATTTCCAAAAGACAGTGGCTTAGTTGCATTTATAAGTAGGTTAGCCTTGGCTGAGTTCACACTAGTTAATTTACTTTGACACAGTCCTTGTCCTAATACTTCTATTACAAGTTTAGAATTCTACCATAGATACCCAAGTATTTAAATATATGTTTCTAACCATAGATTTACTTCTAGGTTCTATAAATAGCTAGGTAAGGGTGTTTTTTTCTCCTCAGTGATTTATCTGAAACTTGGTATTCAATCAAAACTTATGCATGTATACAAACTATCCAAATTTCACCCATTAGTTGTTACTTAGGAAGCAGTTTCATTGTTAAGTAACAAGCATGAACTTTGGACTCAGATCCAGGTGTGGGTAGGGTATTTTCTACTTAGTTCATGTTGCTAACTTCTCTAAACCAAGTTTCTTCATCTGTGCCATAGGAACAATAAAATATTACCCTTTTAGTAGTGCAGTGATTAAATATAACACACTATATACATTCAGGGAAAGAGCACTCATAAAATACTAATTGTCATTGTTGCTGACATTGCTGTTGTTAAAGTAATAATAATATCTAACATTTATTGAGCACCTTAGTATATACTTCAATATTTGCCCTAATTTGGTTTCAAGTAGGGGATTTTTGCATCCCCATTTTACAGATAAGGAAACAGAGAAATCAAGCAATGCACCCAAAGTTACCCTCAGAGAAATGGTAGAGCCAAGATTGAACTCCAGGCTTACTGCCTCCAAAGTCAGCTTTACATTATATTACATTTCACTGCCTTTGAGAAATATAAAAGGAGACGTTTTTAAAATTTTCACATTTTGAGAACAAAATTCTCCAGAGCTCATATACAAATAATAATAATTAGGTATAGAAAATTTGTGATAAAAACACACTAGTAATTACCTCAAGAAATGAATACTGACAGAGGCCATCAAAGCTGTAACTTTTCCCATCAAAAGTTCTGACATGACCTTCCCCATAGATGTGGCAGGTGGTTTGACATTCATTCTGTGTACAGCTCCAAGATCCTTTTATGCATGTGCTGGAAGAAAACAAACGGTTGAGTGTGGTCGTTATATTACACCAAGATTCCTATGCTCATGCTGTTTTTGCAAAGAAGCACTAAACAGTGTTTCATATTGATTTAAATTCTTGGTGGTGGTTTTCATTATTTGATTTCACCACATATAATACTATATAAAGTTTCCATTTAAAACATAGCACCTTTTTCTAACTAGATTTGACCATTATTTTTTCAATATGTCCATGTATGACTTCTTTCTCGCAAAAATCAGAGCAGACTATACACTTTCTAACACCCAAGACAAATAAAACATCAATCGTTTATCAAGCACCATTTGTTGCAGCCAACTGAGGTGACACTTCCTTGGTCATACTCTCGGCCACCAAAAGAGCACGGGCAGTCGTCAGGAAGGACACAGTTCCCTTTTGAATTTCGAACCATTCCTACTGGACAGTAGCACCCACGTTTGCAAGGCAAGTTCTCCTGCAGGAACAAATATAAAATACATACCATGAGGCGCCTCTCTAAACGACACATCATCAGCATTAAGTTATAATACATTAACAAACCAAATGTACATTTAGAATCAACATTTGATAAGTCAAAATAACACACAGTAAACAAAATAACCTCCTAATTATTGTCCATTGACCTTTTAGTTTCCTTTTGCCCTGAAACAAACATTTTAAAAATCAAAACTCTGATGCCATGTTACTTACATCAAAATTAGGTATGTTCCGTGTGCTACATGTGCTATCAACTCGTCTCTGTAACTTTGGATCCCTGCAGTCAACATATTCAGCCCCTCCCGAACAGTTCTCTGCAAGATAAAGGGAGTTGTTAATCCAGGGTCTCTTGATCTGCTTGTTTTAACCAAAGTGGATATTTAAGCTTGCACTTACGTAGGGTTAAATCAATGGGAGTCTGGCAAAGAAGAAGTCCATCCCGACAGACACTGGAAATAAAAGAAAATTACACATTTAAACATCAGACTTCAGTGGCAACTTCTTGATACACTGTTATACCAACTTTAATGCCTTGTTCATAAACCATCTGTTTAATCACAAGTTATTAGATTAATGAGACACAGTCCCCCCAGAAGATGTATTAGATGTACCAAATGATAAGATACAGCTTGGTACAGAGCATAGGAATGCCCAAACAAGGTTCTATATACATCAGAGGAAACTCCATGGAAATGATGGCTGGATCTTGTTGGATGAGTAAGCTTCAACAGACACTGTTGATAAGATGCAAAATGGATGCAAAGGAAGGACAAGGTATGTTCCAATGGCTTGTTCGGATTGAAGGTAGGGTGCATGATAGGGAGAAGTAACGGTAAATTAGGGCCAGATTTTAGATAGGCTTAAATGACAAATTTGTTTCTACTCATCAGGTAGTTGTCACAGAGTTTCTGAGCAGCAAAGTGGCATAATCAGAACAAGGCTTTAGGTTAGGAATTCTAAGGGGATGCAGGAAACATGGAGACAGACAGAGCCAGGACACAGAGCAGCCAAGGGTCTCTCACAGTAGTTCCAGTAAGAGCTCGTGGGGATCTGAAATGGAATAATGATGAAGGGAACCGTAATTTGGAGGTGGTAGCCTAAGTTCCATTTATTCCTCAACATCTACAGAGAAGGATCAGTATTAAACCACAGCCAAATGTTTTATATGCAGGGATGGACAGGGGTTGTTACCTACACTTTCCTTTAAAATGACCAAGAAAAATCACTCATTGTTAAATGATAGCTTCATGGAATTCAAAACGAGAGACAACACATCGGAAGTTTTTTGCATTGACTTTCATTTTGTAGATACATTGTTAAGAATTGCTATGTCTGTGTATGGAATTAGAAATGTGGATAAATTACTTTGCTCCAAACTACAGAAATCACAGCCTCCTTTACCATTACAAAAAGTGACAATTCTTCGTCTCCTACTGCCCAGCATCTATGCCCAAATTCTTGAATATGGCCTGCCCAATGTCTACTTTACAGTCCAATCCTATGCAACAACAATGTGCATGTATAATACTTTCTCATGCATTCCCTACATTAGTGCATTCTTTTTACTGAAAATCATTCTACACACCCCAATTTTATTTGGAAAAGGATTCATCCCATAGGGAATTAAATGTTGGTTTTCTCTGAGAAGTTTTCCAGGTCATGAGTGGTCCTTTTTGATGCTATATTACAGTGTTCAGACTTCCTTACAAAGTTAGCACCTTGCTTACTCTGTGAGTCCAAGATAATAACTTATCTTTGTAACTCCAGCACTCAGCATAAGACCCAGCACCTAGTAGGTATTTACTTGATATGTGTTGAATGATGAATGCTAAGAGACAACTAGAAAGCTTTGTCTTAATAGGGAATTGTTTTAAATCCATCTGTTTGTAGAAGCTGCTGGAACACCTTTTTACTGGTATTTAAAACCAAACCAGTAGGAAGAATCAGTTATAGCCATTATGTGACACTCCAGGTTAAACGAGGTATTAACTAACCTTAATAAGAAATACAAAATTAAAAATAAGACAGATTTAAAGATGATCTTATACCAGCAAAACATTATTTCTCTGAAAGGACAATCTCTTGATTTCAAGGTCATTACAAGTATATGTATATATATACTCCATACCATTTGTTGTCATCAATATTGATGAGTTTGCCTGGTTTCACGACCTCGTCATTTATGTAGCAGTCACAGTGAGACCTTAGAACACACTTCCCTTCATTATTCTTGTACATGCCCTCAGGGCAAGTGCATCCATCGACGGGAACGTCCTGTACATCACAGCTCCTATCTCTCTCTGACAGTGATCGGCAAGAACTATTGCAGGCTTTTACGTTGTACTTGAAGACTCGGCCACTTGGACAAGAGTGATCTGTTGGTATAGGGCCAAAAATAATCAATATGCATATATCCAGGGAAATTAGCAATTTTATTTCAACTTGATGTTAATAGACTATAGTGAATGAGAAGTAAGATTATGGATAACCAAGAAAAAGGCACTTGCTTTTCTTTTCTTGTTTTCTGTTTCAGTCAGTATTGAGTCCCAACTACATGTGTACACATTCTGCTGGGGGTGACACCCATAAACAAGAGTGGCAATACACTGCTTTCATGTGGCTTGTGTTCCTGGGAGGACAGCCGTGGCACGTGCTAGAAGGGAGCAAGCGGGCAGCTCTGAGAGTGGGTCACTAGGGGCCTGTCCCTGGGGTAGGACGGGTAGACGGAGGACATGACGGTAGCCCAGGGCAAAGTAGTTCTACATCTGCGGAAGAGCCTCTGCTAGAAGGGAGGGAAATTCTTTCCAAGAGCAAGCCAAGGAAGAATCAGTGATTCAAACTTGCAGGGACCTCTTAAGAACTAAAGGTCTTTAGCCTTAGACCAATGAGAAGCCACTGATGCGTTTCAGTCTGGGATGTCACATGACCAGGTTCATTTTATTTGGTTTTCCTTTATAGATTACACTGGTTTCTCTGTAAACATGAGTTAGAGGGAACTGAGAGTGGATACTGAAGGAGGCCATTGTAATTACCCAGGAGGAAAAATTGATGATTTCTTGAACTAGGTTAGTGGCAATAGAGATAGAGAGCTGTGAATGGATTCGAGAGAAATTTTGAGGTGAACTTGACAAGACCTTATTGATTGACTGGATATGGGTTATGAGGTATAAAATATGATGTGCAAGAGATGTCTTTCTTATTCCAATAGTGCAATATTTTCAAACAAAGCATGATTTTTATCAATATGATAGTCGAGCTCCTAATTGATTAATTAATTATTTTTTTCCAAAATATGTTATTAATATTTGACAATCATTTAAAAATGCAGTAGGAGTCAGGACATTATTTAAATTTCAGCACATAATGATTGAAGAGAAGCATATATTTATATATAAATGCATATACATTCTTGTTTAAATATGAAAATATTAAATCAAGAGAGAAGAAATAAATCATAAAGTAAAAATGCAAGGATTTGTCAAACACATTTGTTAATAAACAAAGTTACCTTGGAAAGAGCCAAGCACAAATTTATAAACACATATGCCTAAACGACACACACACACACACAAACACACACGCGCACACACATGCACACACACACGCACACACACAGCTACAGTAAAACTGAGAAGGAAGTAGCATTATCTAAAGCCTCTGTCTTCCTTACCACAACGTCCAGTTCTCCAGCCCACTATGTATGTTTCCTTCTCAGCACATGCTTTCACATAGTTGCCTAAAATTGTACACAGGCAATTCCGACTGTTTTCACAAGTGCAAGTATATTTTTTGCATTCCTTTAAAGTAAGAAACACATTTATGTTACATTATGAAAATACTCCGAAGAACGCGTAAACTGGGTATAATGATTCAGTTCATAACCACTCCTCTTTCAAGCAAAACATTTGTTTTTGAAGCTTTTGGACATAATCCAAAAATATGCAAAATAGCAAATCAACGATTAACCAAGGTTTCAAAGAACTTAGAACAGACAGAAAGGGAATTTATTCAAGATTGTCTCCTTTGAGGTTATTTTCTAGTACAACTCTTTTTTTGGAGATATTTTTAATAAATTAGTGGAATCCAATGTTAAATTTAAACATGTATCTTAATCTACTGACTATGGTTGTTACTCAAAAAAATTTAATATCTACATGCTTCTTTTGATATTATAAAAATATTTCTCTAAAAAACTGTTAATGTGAGACTCTCCCATACCTCATGGTACGGCTTAGGGTTCACAATCGGATGGCAGGAAGCGAAAGGCCCACTGGACTCGAGGAGGATGCCACAGTGCTTCTCAGCGAATCTCTCTGTAAGACAACGAATGTGCCTCACATTAGTATCAGTAATGGCATTATTTTTTAATTGAAGGGAAAAGTATAAAGTTTTTAACAGAGTTTGTCTTTACTCACACAATTGTGCTCTTAAAGTATCTTGGTATAATAAATATATAACAAATCTAGTTCATCATGATAAACAAAAAGAACACGCTATAATCAGAAACACCTTAAACTAGAAGGCAACATCCTCATTAGATTTGGACTCTCGTGTTAAATCAGTTAAACCTTTTTCTGAAGCACAATGCCCATATAAAAATGGGAATAAGGGAATCAGATTCTTTATTCAGGTGCCTTTTAATTAAAATATATGTATATTTGTATGTAAACTATGACAAGCTGGTAAGTGAGGCCACAATACCACAACTACCAACTGGCCCCTGTTCCCCTCAGAAGGTCGTATCACCTTTACCACAACGAATATCAATAATTCAAATACACTATGTTAATTTTTTCAGTGGAAAATTGGTGTTTGCTTAGCTTATAAATCACTAGCCTCATATTAAATTAACAGAAGAGAAAATTTACAAAAATAGCATCTGAGGAGCAAATGCTTAAAGAACATGACCATGACTAGCAGCGTCACTGTTAACATTTTTTTTTAACTATCTGTTCCTTGGCTTTTAAAAGTGACTGTCACCAGGAAGCAAGAGCAGCAGCAGTCTGAATCTTTGACAAGTACCCTGAGGCTGATTATTTCTGAAATATTGACAAACCAAGTCCCATTATATCATGTTTTATGTAAACATTACTAACAGCTTCTTAAAATATGGGCTGTGCAACACAGAGAAGACAAGCAGTGATTCTGCAGCATCTTACTAGCGGATGGACAGTGACTGTGATGGGGTTGTGGGGGGGATTTGGTGAAGGGGGCACCCTAGTAAACATAATATTCTTCATGTAATTGTAGATTAATGACAACAAAATAAAAAGAAATTAAGACCAAATTAAAAAAATATATGTATATATAATTTTGTTTTATTAGTGTGAAATATTTAATACTAAATATATTTTATTAAATATTAAACATTGAAAATTGAAATGGTTAATTTATATCTCTCTCAAAAGTGTTTCCCTATAGTGACCTTAACATAAATTGGCTTAGTTTCTTAGGAAATATATGTTCTTTTTTTTTTCACCTACTCTCATTTTAATTGTTTTCATTGCAACAGCTACAAAACAAAATAACACGATGATTAAAAACTTTGATATATGTACTACCACGTTGTTGTTAATGCATCTGTCAACTCATTTTTAAGTCAAAACAAGTAGTTGAGACTTCAGAAGGAATATTTTCAGTGAATTTTAAATACTCTTGTAAGCTGATCAGATATTTGTCTCAAATATGCAGATGAATTTAGAAACAACTAGTAAATTTATCAACATAATATATTATAACTTATCTTCCATTGCATTCCATATTCATGAAGGAAGCAACATAAGATGAAGGGTTTATTAAAATCAACAATACTAAGGAAGTAACCAGAACAAGGCTTGGATTCAAAATACTTGGATTACAGCTTCATAGTTAACCCCTATTAAGAGCTTCCTATCCAGACTCCATTATCAGCATCTACATTAATGGGGATAATAGCCTCATTCATGTCCTTCATGAGTTTTTTGGGAATAAATTGACCTAATATTTATGGAAGTCTTTGGTAAGCTATAACAGCAGGTCCATCATGCCAGTATACAGTTTTCCTAAAAATATCTCTGTTGGGGGTTTGCTTTCATTAATATACACGACCTGAGTGGTTGGGAGGCTTGGTCTATCTGCGGCTCTGTCGTTGAGTGGCTCAGCAATTTGGCCGAGTCTTGCTATTTCAACCAATGATCATTTCCACAATTAAAGGGGAAGAAGAATAAATTAAATGGTCTGTAAAGTCTCCTCTAACACTATTATTCTACAGCAATGGAGAAAACTCTATAAGGAGGAAAAAAGAGGGTAGAGAAAGACAACTCTGTTGATGTCCCTTCCCCAGGGAAAGATGCGTTTTTTAGGGGCACCCTCATCCAGCCCGACTATTTCTCTGCTCCCTCTAAAACTGGGACAGTACAACAAGCACCAGCTAAAACCCAGATCGTCTGATAATCTCTTTATTACCAGAATAAGTATATAATTACTAGCACCAAGTATTTAAGTACAAAGTTTGCCATTCAGTCCACATTACCTTTTTCTATGCTGATACATGAAGCAGGGGTTCCTTTAGGACAGCGCGTCATTTCCCAAGAATTGGCAAATGCCTGAGATGTCTTCTCCAGGATATTATGACTTGACATGAAATCATCCTCCGCTTTGTTGTTGTAGGAACCACAGAGTCCTAGATAGAGCACAGAACACATTTTGGCAACTCCTCACCTACTCGGCTTTTTGGGTTTGTGTCCTCACTTGTAGTCAATTCTCTGCTCAAACCAAAACATGTAGAAGCCACATGGAAGTATATGTTGGCTCATCTTTATACATGTAAGGAAAATTCCATGAGACTTCAGATTAACAAGCTATTTTATTCAAATTTCCAGAGTATGAGAACACCAATTGCCATGAATATTGTGTTTTCTCTATTTGTGTCTGTAACCGAATCTCCTTTGACAAGGCAGTAGGAAGTGTGCTTACCGGTAGGAAGTTCATGGCTTCACATTTTCAGTTTCATTGGGGAGGGGTGAGGCCTGTTAAGGACCATAGTCCTTTCTTATCTGGATCTTTCTGACCCATGAGTTACATTTATTTGCTATGTATAAATAAGTCATCTTTTCAAGTAAAGATATGCTGCAAAAATTTAGATGGTTTTAAGTTAGTAACTGTGGGCTTTGCCATTGTTTTGTTTGTTTGGGTAGACATCCGTGACAATACGTAAGAGCTGATTTCTATGATAGAAAACCTCAGTGAAAAATATGATCATGTGGTCCGTCAGCACAAAGATAAGTTAGAAAGTAGTTTGTATGTGAAACTTGATTTTCAAAAGGTTATTATCTGTAATATTTTCATTTATTCTTCTACAGGTAAAAGCTTTAATAATGTGTATTAGCAAAGTGGTATGTAACATATATCATCCAATCTCAGTAAGAACTTTAATTTTAAAACCTTTAGAAGTTTACATTGTTGAAAAGCATTTGGGGATAGATTTTGTAATAAATCTATTATAAGTTGGAAAGATTTTACTGCAATATGAAAGGGAAGAATAAGTAAAAATGCCTTATGGTCTAATGTCATTAATTAAGAGACAATTGAAAATTACAATAACGATAGTCACACTAGAGCCTTAGAAATAAAAACATATCTAGGGTACTTACCTACGGTGTCTGTGAACTGGTTATGTGGCATGGAAATATATAATTGCATCACAGGAACAATTTGTATTTGCATTTTTACATGAAAGTACGTTTCTACTTGAAGGTATGAGGAAGATACTCTGAAGATCTGTATTTGGTCTGTTAAAACAATTATTAACATTAATAGCAATAATTAACATATTTACTTTTAATTTCTCAAAATGCTTTTATAATTTAAAATTTATTAAGAAACAGAACACTTAATGTCCTTAAAATTGAATAAATGAATGTATCTTACATTTATTTTTAAATGGTATTATTAAGCTTACCTGAATAATAATAAACTTGATTTCTCATCTTATCATTTGAGACTGTTCCATCTCTATTGAATACATATTTGTCAACTGAAACAGACTAATATTTAAAACATTGTTAGTTTATATTAATTTTCAATATTAATTCATTTTAATGTAATATATGAACCTGAATTTTTTGTGCCATAAAAAAAATTAATTCTACTGGACTAATTTAAAAACATCTAGAGAATACTTTCAAAGCATTTCCCACACTTCGCTTCATTGTATCTCACACCAGTTTAATGAGGAGGATTGTACAGGACTCTTTACCCTCAATTTGTAGATGAGGAAATAAGACCCAAGGAGGTACTTTGGATTCCCAAAGGTCCAACAGCTTGCGGGTATCAAAAGGCCAGCCCAGGTGTCCTCCCAGTCCCTTTAGGTCTATTTCCACTTGTAATGTCAGTTCCAAATACATGGAATTCTAAAGAAAATATAACTGTCTTCTTACATGGTCCAGAGTTTAATACATTAAGCACATAAGGTCAATATGTAATTAGTACATTAGTTGTGTATGTATAATAAATTTGATATACTTAAGGATCCTTGAAAGATTAGAGCTCATTATCAATTTTCTGTACAATCTTATTTATGTTTTTAATTTACACAGTAATGCCTCTCTTCAGCTTCAAAACTTCTGAATTTGTGAAGTAATTGATTTGATTTTGCTCTGAATAAACTTTAGGAAGCTGATTACTTACCGAATTCAAGAGGAGTGTAACACTCTTTAAGCACGTTCCTGACTGACCACTTGGACACGGACGAAGCTCAACGCTAATGGACCATTCTTTATCCTGTTAAAAAATGCATTTCGTTTAAATGTGTATTAAAATGCCATGGATTATATGCTTTTACTTTGCATTCATTCACAGCGCATGTTTGCATTTTAAGTATGCACAATTCCTACAAACAACTAGTCTGCCCTGACAATAGAAACCTAAGTCAGTCCATGGTACAGCCTAGGATTGGCCAGCAGCTTTACAGACGGCCCAAATAACTTGCCTAAGCTTCATCTGTGCAGTCTGTGACTCGTGGACTTCCATAGTCTTATCATTTATTTCTCTTATCATTACTTTTTGTCTTCTCAAAGAGAATGGTGCTGCATTATTTTGGGATATTCCGCCCTCACTTTGTCCATTTTCATCGATTACATGTAGAGCATTAAAAAGGACAGCAGATTTGGAAAACGGACTTTTAGTAGCAGCAACTACATTTTTTATATTACTGGATGTGACGACAGCTCTCACTTCAGGAGTCACAAATTCTGTTCATCTTTGTTATCAGGAAGATTAACTAAAATTGCTTATTCTCATGCTAGCTAAAGGTATAAGCTACAAAATGGCACCCCCCTTTTATTGAAATTCAGATTACCTAAACTTTAAGTTCTGAAAAGAATTTAAAAGTAAAGAGAACCTCTAACATATGGGTGATACTATGTTATAAAAACTCAAAATAAGGGTGAAGAAATAATGATGAAAGAGGAAGATACTTTATGGAGTGTAAAAGATAGTTTCATCTGAGGCACTAGCGAATACATGCAAAGAAAAGTAGAAGGAGGAAATATTTTCCAGTGGATTTAGAAAATTATTGATGGATGAAGGGGATTTTTTTTTTTTTTGCTTTTTGCTTTGCGAGGAATTTCGAGGAAGCACAGGTAATATTGCTTGTCAATGTCAATCTGTGACAGAAAACTGATGCTGAAATATATGAAAGTAATTGCCAGGCCATTTGTTTTATTTTTCTAAATAGTAATTTAAAGGAAGATTGTGTTTTAAATTGGTTTAAAAATAGGTTGGTGTGTATATCCATCTTCCCAAATATTCCATTACATACATGAATGGCCAAGAAGTTACAGTTTCCAGGATGGTTGTATTTAACACCATCAAAGGTGGTAATCAAGCTTCCTTCCACCTTACACCGTCCAGGACACAACGCTTCAGTGCAAGACCACTTTGCTTCTTGACATGTGCTGTTAAAATGCAACAGTTATGTTCAAGGTCATTGATCATGTTTTCTCGATGGTGAAAATAAATATCACGACATCAAAAAATCACAACATGAACTAAAACACTTAGTTAAGCTTTATTACACCATCTTCATTTCCCACCCAACATCTCAGCTCTGATAAAATGTTTCATGGATAGTGGTATCCGTGTATTTTGAAAGACTTGAATTTCATTGACTAAAATAATAACTTCTGCCTGCATTAAGCAAACAAAAACTTGTAAATAGATATCAGAATTTGTTTAAGTGGAACACATTTTATTATTAATATTAAAAGACCTGCTGCACATCATATTGTAGACCTGAACTGTCTAATGCAGTAGAGAGACATATAGCTATTAATTATTTGAAATGTGGCTAGTCCAGATAGAGATCTGTTGTACATGTGAAATACACACATATTTCTATGAGAAAAAGATTATAAAATCTCTCAACTTTTTATACTAACTTCATGTTGAAATAATAATATTTTGGAAATATAAAATAGAGGATTAAAATCAATTCCACCAGGTTCTTCTTGCTTTTTTAAAATGCATCAACTAAAAAAATGTTAAATTATATATGTGGGTCATATTTGTGGCTCACATTATATTTCTCTTGGGTAGCACTTAGAGACATGCAATTAATGATAGCTATTGTTATAATCATTCATATATTATTACTACGCTAATAGAACATTTCCTATTTATAGAGAAAATGTAGTATAAATAATATATTAGTTTTCATTGAGTTGGCTTATTTTCCTATAAGCACAACAGTACATTTCTAGGGAATTCCTTTTGAGTCCTGCATAAATTTGGAGTTTCAGAGAGAAGTAATGATAAGAAATGGGAAATATCTATGGTCATCATTCCTGATAAGGCAGAATTGAGCTGTTTGATTAAAAGGGAAATAATCTATATTAATTCTTAGCACATTAAAATTCATTCTGTATTAAATGTAGCTTCACTAATGTAGCCTCATATAAAATTATTTAAAAGTGTTGAGTTTCTGATAGTACATTTTATTAGACTTGGCCATTAGCATGATTATTGTTTCATTATTGAAACCATACTCCAGTATAATTCTTTGCTCTTTACTTGCAACCACCAATTGGTTTACTATTCTAAACACTATTTCATCAGTGAAAAACATTATCTTTTAAAGATACACAGAAAACTCATATATTTTATATTAAAATACACACTAAACTTTCCTTAAAAAAATAAAAAATAAAGCATTAATACAGAAAATGCAACAAAGTTGCTTTTTGTATCTGAAAAGTTTAATAGTAGATTTAGAAATTATTTCAAATTTTAGAATAAAATTTTACTGTTATTTTCCTATTAATAAAATATGGTGGAAAAGCACACACATACCATTGCGAACCGCAGGGACCTTCTCGAACTTCTCCTGACCGATAGATCTTTCCATTAGATTCACAGGGACACTCGGCCTTTAATACACATCTCCCCTTTTTGCCAATATCGTCCAATAGATAACCTAGAATACATTGCATAAGATTAATCTCAAAACTATGGAAACATCAGGAAATTCTCAAGCAGTGTAATGTGAAATCAGTCACAAGCGAGTTCTTTCAAGTATAAATATGCACTTAAAATATTAATTTCTATTTAAGCGATTACTCCTAGTTTGAGAAATGACAAGACTATAGATAATTTTTTGAGCACAGAGCAGCCTACAGAGCCATAGACAGGACCAGGATGACCTGTGGAGAACCACAGCCATCAGGTTCTGTAGAAATAGGAATACATGCTACCTTTCAGTCACCATCCTCTGTAGTTTTCTAGAAGGATGGATTTTGAATAGGTGAATTCATTAAATATCTTGTTAAAAAGAACTCATACTTGAGTCATTTAATTTTCATTTGTTTTATTGTATATATTCTCACAGGCCAATTACCTTCTGGGCAGGTGCAGCCACTCACACATTCGCTGTCTTGGAAAGGAGCCACATTCGAACAAGTTGCAGGATTTGAGGGACCACATTCTTTGTAAATATGTTTTTCTGGGCATCTAGGCTTTTCTAGAGAAACAGAGAAATACATATATAGTAAAATTAGAGGTGACATGGATACGATACATACACAATATTCTAATGGGGATTTTTTCAAATGGGATTCTCTCAGTGTAATTTTCAAGGTGTAAGTCAGTCTTAAAGATACTCAGTACAATTGGATTATGCCAATTCCCATGCATTATTTTATGATACAGCATTTAATTTGGAGGTAAGCAAACAAATTTGGAGGAAATGTATATTATATATGCTATAATTTCATCTTACTTTAAAATTGATACTCTACTTGTACTTTAGCATGTAAAGATTGAGCCAATCATAAGTGGAAAGTATATTTATATTTGCATGAAACTCAAATTTACTAATCGTTTTGAAGGCAGTATTGCTACTAATCAACATACTTTTGATAACTTTTCCAGTTTTTAATAGAATCTTACAGAATTACTATTTTTCCAGTGACTTTTCCTCAGAAAATGGAAATTCCTAATTAAGGTCTTAACACAAAGTGCTACTACACCTTGTGCAAGTCACATAACCACAACAGGCCTCAGATTCCTCAGAAATACATAAGAGAGACAGACTCCACCATCCCTAAGATCCCTTCCCGGGCTTCCAGTCATTTGGGAAGATTACTTTGAAATGTAGCTCAACTTTAAAGTGCTATAGAAACATCCTGATGTGGGATCTACAGTAACACTAAAAACCTACCACAGACTACATCGGAATCGTCTCTCCAGGATTCGTAGGCTCCTGGACCATCCGAGGCACAGAGGCGGGACAATTCTGAGTAAGTGTCACAAGTAGATCTTTTATCGTTATTTTGGCAGTATTCATCGATGCAGATCATTCTGTAGTCACTGACTAGTGGGGCAACCTTTCCACATTTCTCGAAATACCTTCTAATAATTTTGTCACAATGCTGCAAAATAAAGCATAAAGTTTTATTAAAACAAATGGAAAACCAAATGAATATTTAGGAAAAAATAAATTATGGTTTTTTTTTTTTTGCATAATATCCTATAGCTTTGACAGGGATAGTTGTTGAACACTGTTGAGATAGTTTTGACGTATTATAGCTGGTACAGTGACCCTAAAGAAAACTTTACCTCTGGTATTTTGAAGTGCAATGTGATGACACCAAAAACTGTTAGACCTAAACTCATGCACAATTTCTGTAATGGTGATAGAAAGTTTAGAACCCAAGAATATGGAAGCAGTGAGAAATGTAGAGATTGTTGATGCCAGAATGTGGGATGGTAAATGATTGATACCATGTCATGGTTTAATTTTCTTTGCTAGAAGATGACAAGATGGTCATAACTGCAATACCCGGTGTCAGTAAAACAAAACTCTTTTCTATTCATACTATCCATATTTATCTTGACCTTCAGAATTTTGTTTCTGATTGAAATAGGAACATGTGAACATTCATTCAGTCATCAAACAAATGCAACCTATTGAATTCAACATAACAGAATTATACCAGTGAAGAAAACTCACAGAGGAAATGATGACAACTTTTAAGTGCAGTCCGAAAGACTATCTCTAACTTTTCAAAGGTAAAGGATACAAGGGATGAAAATTCAGATTGGCTATCTGTGGTCAAAGTAAGGGGGTGAGAACAGAAAGTAGTTCTTAGGGACACAGTACATGGATTTCTAAATAGTAAGAGTCAACTCAGTACTGTGCCCATCACAAGATAAAAATGGAGAGGGGACATATGTCAGCTTAAGGACAAACTAAAACACTGCAAAAGAAATTAAAATTGTGACACATATATAGTATAACGTTTTTTTAAAAAAGTATTCTATCATCTCCAGTGGGACTAACACTAAGAAACAGAGTACAGGCACTGTATTTAGTGTGCCTGTAATTGCAAGAATAAGGTCTGAGTGATTAGAAGAGGATGTTGGCTGTTTATATTGAAGTCAAGTTAAAGACTGCTGAAGTTTGTTACCACATGAAATATTCTTACCTGCACGCCATCTTCACAATCTTTATAGGTTTTATGAACAGCTTTTGGACAACTGCCAGGAATTTTACTCCTGGCAATGTGCTCATTGATATTTTCTCCTTAAAAACAAAGCAATGTTTGTACCGTTATATTATTTTCATGCTAAATATGGAGTGACCACATAAATACATTCTTTAACAATTTCTCATTCTTTCTACAAATGTAAATTATTTGCTTTTAGACTTATCCAAGTATGAACAATTACTTTCCAATTCTCTTTTGGGGGGCACTTTTCTCAGAATGCATAGGAATCTTACCCGGAGTGCTGTTGAAGTTCCCGCAAAGACCACAAGTTGCATATTGCTTGTGAAGAGTGAGCTGTTTGAAAAATTAAATTTATATGTTTATAAAATATTGAAAATACCTCAAGACAAAATTTACCGAAACTAAAGGACAGGACCTGCAGTGGTTTAATTAAAGATGTACTATGGGGTCTTTTTTTAAAGAATTTAGAGACGTCCTGGCTCCAGCTCTTACTAACTATGTCTTTGGACATATGATTTAACTTTTGTTTGCCTACATTTCCTCAGTTCCATTATCTGTAAAATAAGCCTAATAATAATCTGCATATTAAGGTGTTTTAAGTATTAAATAAGATAATACATAGTGCAGTGACTGATACATAGAGATTTCTCAGTAAACTGTAGCGCTTATTTTCCTTATAATGTATTATTTTTGTAACTGAAAGTAGAGAACAGAAAGCATAGGATTATAGGAAACTCATAGACGGACTTACTGAAAGTCTCTTTTTCTTGTCCCACATTAAAGACAGGACTCCTCTACGGCTATTCAGAACATTATGTTCTCCGTATTTTTTAATATGAATCAACTTATTGTCATATGGCATGTGTACCCTGAAAAGTATGAAATAAAAGTACATATAAAAGGTAAGAATAATACTATCATGTTTTTCTGATAATTCATATTTTTACATTTAATGTCATAAATATAATACATGTTAGTAAATATTAAAGTTTTCTTATCTCAGAAGAAGAGACACAATATATTTTTTCACTTTTGGAAAGACTTTTAAGGAACAACGAATAAATCTTTGGGACTCTGGAAAAATGAGCAAACAGAAAGTGCCATGATGTAAGAAAAAAAATACGAAATCATTTGAAAGTTCACAACTAGACTGTCATGCCTCATTTTCTTATCCTGGGAAGTATTCATATAAGCCATCCTTGCTAAATATGAGCCGCTACTTCCACAAATGATGGCCTAAGTTGCAATCTACTGTAAAACCTCAAATTTATATGAGTGTTAGAAATGCAGATGAAAATTGGAACATTCTATGAACTGTTCTGTTGAATATTCATGTTGCCCCAAATCTCAATACTCAAAATAATTGGACAACAGAGGTAGTCTCTTCCCATCTTGTTACAGGAACAAATATAATAGCTTAACAATCCCACATACAGCAAAGTCTTCTACATTAATCAAACTCCTTTCCAACAATCTATTATAAACTTCAATAGGACCAAAGTAGGAAAATAGTACCATCTCTTCCCTATTTGACCTTCTTTCTTTCTGTTCAGGTTACTTCAAATAATTCTATGGCATTTTTCTGAAATAGTATGCCAATTACCTTTCTCCATTAACTAAAATGTGATCACCAGAAATAGAGATGTCATTACTGTCGATTGCAACTGCTATTATTTCAATGTCACTATTACGGTTTCGTTTGATCTCAATGTTGAAATCTCCTCCAGATTCCACACAGTGACGGCAGAAAGTATACATGCATGAAGACTTAAAGGAAAAGACACGGCCATTGAAAGCTTTATATACTCCTTTGCCCCAGGTAGAAGCTTCACCTACAAAACATTTAGGGTAGAGAGGTCAGACTGATTTAGAACAATTAACATAGCTTCTAGTTCTCATTTTTTAAAGTGTTTATGGACCAAGAGAAAAACAATCACTGTAAGGTTCTCTTCTCACAGCTACCACCCTAAATCAGTACTGTTCTTTCTCAAATATTGCAAACACACATCAAAAGTGGTACCTGAGTCCTTGCAGATGCCCAAAGTTGGCTATTCTGACTAGAACAAAACATGAATAAAATAAAACATGAATTTCCCATGGGAAAAGGGAAATCGTTCCACTGTGGGGAAGGATATATGGAAGGAAGCTGTGGTGTGTTTGCCTTTGTTTTGTTCGTTTTACTCTTTGTAGATAGTCTTTCTTATGTTGTCTGAGTAGGTTTCCATCGATATCAAATGAATGTAAAGAATATTACTTCTCTCTATACATATATGTGTATGTGTACACATATGTATCTATGTGTTTCTATGTTCATGTGTGTTGTGTATATGTGTCCAGGCATGTATGTATGTGTACATATATCATTGAGGTAAAATAGTACAAATGTGATGTCATTCGAACGTATAATGATCAAAGAGATAGAGAATAGGCAAATTTTTAAAACTAGTTTCAAATTTGGGTTATTTTTTTAGGTACTGGTTGGCTTGGGGATAAAAATATGGATAGAAATAAAAGATCAATTTTGCTTACCAATAATTGTATTTGTTTCTGAGTATTTTGGAGTTGCTTCTGGAATGTGGAATCCTCTTTCTGTTCAACACAATGCATAGATTACTTAAATTTCGAGACATATATTGATTTTAAATATACAGAATATTTGGACTTTTACTTGGAAATTTAAAGTTGGTATTAAAGGCTACCAATGAGTCTCTTTAGCCTGACTATATGATTTGATTTTGTGAAAGTTGTGATTTGTCAAGGTCACATAAATGACTATTGCTGAAAAAAAATCCATATTTTTTCGTGGAAAAATCAGCCATAGTATATTCAGAAATCACTAAGTGCCTATTCATTTTTGGTCATGCACAATTACTGACATATGTTGTATCTCTTACAAAATTATCTTTTCTACTTCAAAAATCAAACTTTGTTATTTGGTCATGCACAATTACTGACATATGTTGTATCTCTTACAAAATTATCTTTTCTACTTCAAAAATCAAACTTTGTTAGCCTATTTTTATTGGAAACCACTACCCAAACAGGCCAAAGGTAGTTTTATTAAGTTGGTCTATTATATAATACTAATAACTCAATTATGTATATTTGAAGAAAACTCAATTCTCCTGATCAAAGAGAAAAATCTGTACACCTTGAAATTTAAGTTACTCATGATTGTTTATTTCTAAGGCACTGACCCTTTTATGTAACCCAGTAAATTTAGATGAAATATATTGGAGCAAGGTCAAAAGCAAGCAGAATGGAATAGTCACAACAATAACAAAAGTGAATATTTTGATGCAATTCTAAAATATTTTTCACAATGCTATTTACTGTATGTCTTGAGGCTACCTCTCTGCTTCAGGTGGTCTTTATTCAGGTTGACTGGGAAAAGATTAAACTATTTATAAAGCCATTTAAAAAATATTGTATCTAAAATCATAAAGGAGAAGTTGCAGTATGTTTTATTCATTTTCCCTTAAAATATAATTTAATCTCTCTTATTTATGAAGTTGTTTCAAATATCCAACTGGTCATCTAAAATTTAGTACTTAGAAGAAGACCTTAGAAGTGCAATTCAACACGAGAAACACATAATACAAAATCGTAGTAAATCAATAATCAACAGAACATTTGATTTCAAAAAGATACATATATACATATATGCATACATACATATACCTTATGTATATATTTATTTTAAGTACAGAAACTCATAATCAAATTACCTGTAGTAATGAGTGGTCCAGGAGTACTGTAGTCAGATGAGCTTCTGACACCTATTTTAATACAAAATAATTAGGCTGTTCCTAATATAATTCGAAGTATAATTCTACTTGGTAAAATATTTTTTAAATGTTTTTAAAATCGATGGATAAACCATGGATCCAAGTCCAGCAACACTGAAAATCTTTCTCATGAGTTCCTTTAACACTAAATCTGTATTGATCAAAAACACCACCACCAATCACCACTTCACTAATTCATTGATTTTTCTGTCTAAAGCAGAACCAGAGGAACAATGTAGAATACCTGTTTCAGGGGCAGCAGAATTGGAGCCAGCTAACCCAGATACTGAATTCACATCAACTCCGTTTGTGCCAGATCCCTTCACTGGATTCACTCCAGCTCCACTTGGGGCAGATCCAATCAAAGAATTCACTCCAGCTCCACTTGGGGCAGATCCAATCACTGAATTCACACCACCACCACTTGGGACAGATCCAATCAAAGAATTCACTCCAACTCCACTTGGGGCAGATCCAATCACTGAATTCACACCAAGTCCATTTGGGGCAGATCCCATTACTGGATTCACACCAAGTCCACTTGGGGCAGATCCCATTACAGAATTGACACCAAGCCCACCTGGGACAGATCCCGTTACTGAATTCAAGCCCACTCCACTTGGGGCAGATCCCTTTACAGAACTGAAGCCAAGTCCACTTGGGACAGATCCCATTACTGGATTCACACCGAGTCCATTTGGGGCAGACCCCAATAGAGAACTGATGCCAAGTCCACTTGGGGCAGATCCCATTACTGGATTTGCAGTGAGTCCACTTGGGGCAGAACCAATTACTGAATTCACACCGTCTCCACTTGGAGCAGATCCCATTACTGAATTCACACCAAGTCCACTTGGGACTGATGCCATTACAGAATTGACACCAAGTCCACCTGGGGCAGATCCCATTACTGAATTCACACCTGGTCCACTTGGGACAGACCCCATTACTGAATTCACACCAAGTCCACTTGGGGCTGACCCAATTACTGAATTCACACCGTCTCCACTTGGAGCAGATCCCATTACTGAATTCACACCAAGTCCACTTGGGGCAGATCCAATTACTGAATTCACACCAGGTAGACTAGGGGCTGACCCAATTACTGAATTCACACCGTCTCCACTTGGAGCAGATCCCATTACTGAATTCACACCAAGTCCACTTGGGGCAGATCCAATTACTGAATTCACACCTGGTCCACCTGGGGCAGATCCCATTACTGAATTCACACCAAGTCCACCTGGGGCAGATCCCATTACCGGATTCATGCCCACTCCACTCGGGGCTGATCCAATTATTGAATTCACACCAAGTCCACTTGGGGCTGATCCAATTGCCGACTTCACACCAAGTCCACCTGGGGCAGATCCCATTACTGGATTCACACCAAGTCCACTTGGGGCAGATCCAATTACTGACTTCACACCAGGTAGACTAGGGGCTGACCCAATTACTGAATTCACACCAACTCCACCTGGGGCAGATCCCATTACTGAATTCACACCAAGTCCACCTGGGGCAGATCCCATTACCGGATTCATGCCCACTCCACTCGGGGCTGATCCAATTATTGAATTCACACCAAGTCCACTTGGGGCTGATCCAATTGCCGACTTCACACCAAGTCCACCTGGGGCAGATCCCATTACTGGATTCACACCAAGTCCACTTGGGGCAGATCCAATTACTGACTTCACACCAGGTAGACTAGGGGCTGACCCAATTACTGAATTCACACCTACTCCACCTGGGGCTGATCCCTTTACTGAATTCACACCAAGTCCACCTGGGGCAGATCCCATTACCGGATTCATGCCCACTCCACTCGGGGCTGATCCAATTATTGAATTCACACCAAGTCCACTTGGGGCTGATCCAATTGCCGACTTCACACCAAGTCCACCTGGGGCAGATCCCATTACTGGATTCACACCAAGTCCACTTGGGGCAGATCCAATTACTGACTTCACACCAGGTAGACTAGGGGCTGACCCAATTACTGAATTCACACCTACTCCACCTGGGGCTGATCCCTTTACTGAATTCACACCAAGTCCACCTGGGGCAGATCCCATTACCGGATTCATGCCCACTCCACTCGGGGCTGATCCAATTATTGAATTCACACCAAGTCCACTTGGGGCTGATCCAATTGCCGACTTCACACCAAGTCCACCTGGGGCAGATCCCATTACTGGATTCACACCAAGTCCACTTGGGGCAGATCCAATTACTGACTTCACACCAGGTAGACTAGGGGCTGACCCAATTACTGATTTCACACCCACTCCACCTGGAGCTGATCCCTTTACTGAATTCACACCAAGTCCACCTGGGGCAGATCCCATTACCGGATTTATGCCCACTCCACTCGGGGCTGATCCAATTACTGAATTAACACCAAGTCCACTTGGGGCTGATCCAATTGCCGACTTCACACCAAGTCCACCTGGGGCAGATCCCATTACTGGATTCATGCTCACTCCACTTGGAGCAGATCCCTTTACTGAATTCACACCAAGTCCACCTGGGACAGATCCCATTACTGAATTCACACCAAGTCCACTTGGGGCAGATCCAATTGCTGACTTCATACCAAGTCTACTTGGGGCAGATCCAATTACCGACTTCACACCAAGTCCACTTGGGGCAGATTCCTGTACCAATTTCTCACCAAGTCCACTTGGAGTAGATCCAATTACTGACTTCACACCAACTCCACCTGGAGCAGATCCGATTACCGATTTTGCAGGAACTCCACTTGGAGCAGATCCAATTACCGATTTCGCAGGAACTCCACTTAAGCTAGATGGACCCTTAGCAATTTTACTTGGATTTGAAGCAATGCCACCAAGTTTCGTACCACCAAAGACATTGTTGGCAAGTTTACTTGCTGATTTGGGTACCCCTACCATACAAAAACACAATCATTATCAGAGAAAAGTTGCATTCATTCATATTGCACAAGATACATGTTGCTTGAACCAGGTCTGCACTATAGTTTCTAATGTACACTGCGCTTTCTCTCCTTATATCTTTTCATATAAAATTCCACAGTGTAATCAGGGTGTGCCTGGCAACCATTACCATGAGGTCTGAAAGAATTGCTTAAAGAAAGGGAAGCTATAGGGCCATTTAACATAAAGTTTTACTGTGTTCTATGGAACATGAACAAATAATTAACTCAGTATTGCAAACAACAACAATATCTGCATTAACTTAGTTATACTAAGTTTGCCAATCCCAAAAAAGTGACTGAACAGACAGAAAACTTGTATATCGTTTCTGAGGATACTTCAACCTCATCCAAAGCTTTTCATTGATCACCATCTGAACTCAAGTATGAAATTTTAATATAAAATATTAAAGGTATTTTCCTCACTGGATTTCCTTCTTTCCCATATTTGGAGAGGTACAAACTATAGAGATTTTAGGTACCAGGCCAGTAAAGTGAAACTTTGAATTGACCAATAGGGAGAAATGTGTTGAACCAGAGAGGATGTACCTCACTTAAAGAAATTTTAATTGTTTTCCTAACAAAACAAAATTGCATACCATACAGTTTAGAAACCATGCTTTATAATATTTCTCAGCAAACTGAGTGCAATTTAAACAGAGAATCCTGGTATAGAAAAATGGATTGTGGTGGAGACAGAAACATTAAGTAGAGAACACTAAATTTGGGTCCAGGAAGTATTTTTAATTATTAATTTATATGTCATAAAAATGATTGGTTACCATAATAATAGCACTAAGTAGAAAGACAGCATAAGGCAATAAAAGTTATAAAAAAAGCTTGATTTAATGTCAACATCTTTGCCAAAATTCTCTAAAGACAGAATTCATTAATCTCATAGATCGCAATTAGTGCCTTTAGTGCTATACTATTACCATTAAGACCATGTGCTACAAACAAAACAAAGGTTATCTGATTATCCTAAATTTTAATACAAGCACTTGATTCCTAGGTAACCATTTTTCTCTAACCATACCTGCTGAGGGATCTTCTGATCTTAAATTCGGATGATGGTGTTTTTTCAATCTGTCTCCAGCCTCTTCTAAACTCCTAAGTTCATTGTTAAAGAACCGATCATGGGAAGATTTTTTTCTTCCTTGTGAGTTACCAGAAGACAAAGCATCGGGCAAAAAGTCACCTAATATGAAAAACAGATTTCATTTGTATACAGTATTGTTATCAGAATAAAAGTGATTTGCTTGTGACATGAAGAAAAGTGCCGTTTTATTTTTTGTAAGTCCCGGAATCCTGACAAGTGCTTGCAACAACAGAAACCACTTATTGACTTAATTGCCATATCCATACCTTATTTTTCATATTCTAAGACCTCAAGAATGAGAGATGAATGGAGCTGTGAAGACCTAACTGATGTGTACTGGAAACTCTTCCCATGGACAAGGCAGAAATAATAAGGGGTATTGTGCTTTCTGCCATACCATTTATATTTCTCTAAATCTATGATAAAATTAAAATACATTAGAATTAATCATGCCTTCGTAACTAGACTATTTCTGTAAAGTTGTGAAAGATGCATTTTGGTCACTGAATAGACAAGAAAATGAAATGCATTATTTGTAAGTAAAATTTGAAAACTATGTAAGAGCAAATACAACTAAAAATAAGAGAATTCTTTCTGTTGGAAATAAGGAGAGACTCACTTCCTCTTTTTCTTTAGATGATTTACTTTAGAGAACTCATGAGTTCTTTCTCTACCTCTTTGAAATGTTGTAAATCGTTGAGGCTCTATATGCCTGGCTCCAAATGCAAATCTACGTCCTCCATGATGATAAAGATACAAGAAATGTATTTTTTCTTATAAAAGCAATTAGCAAACATAGGTGGCTACCTCAGCTACCAAGCAATTGTAGGGTAAACTATGGGTGACAGATGGTGCCGTCAAGCCCTCTTACTCGAGTACTAGTTATGGTTTATCTCAAGGGCATGCATGTATGTAATGGGTTGTACCCACCCGACATGTAAAAGGGTGAGATTTCTTTCCGTCTCTGTGATCTCTTCAGCAGATTGCCTGTGATGTGTGTCACATTACGGTCCAGTTCTTATTCAATAACAAAACTGTTTACTTTCCTTTCTACTTTTGTGGAGAAGTTTCCTGGGATAGCAGGATATTTTGTTTTCTTAATTGTATTTCCTCAGCAACTACTTTTGAACTTTTTAGCCATTTGCCATGTTTCAAGCAAATATATTTATACATTTCTAAAGCAAACAGTATACAGAAATAAGATTTTTTTTTATATTTGAAAATAGTCAAATTACGAGTTAGTCTTTCATGTTTGAGGGAGAGGCCCCCAACATTTAAGATATTGTGAAATGATAGTATTTACTTTTGAGTGTTTCGTTTAGGAGGAATACAGTGCTTAAATCAGGACGAGCCCATTTATATTATTATATTATTAAGGAACCCCCGAACCACTACTGCTTATACAACCCTTCACTGTGCTCGGCATTCTCCTTCCTTGTCGCCTCTTTCCCACACGGTCCCTCCTTCCTTTTTACCCTTTTTCTCTCCCTGTCTTTCTTCACTGTCATGTAGTTCGAGAACTGCATCTTAATGCCGACATGTATTAGTCTGACACTAAAGCAGGAAGAAGTGACTCTGCATTCAGTAGTAGGAGAAGGACGGGCTTTGGAGTCACACCCGGCTGGACCCCCAGACTGGCAATCACAGTGGCCTTTGCTGGTATCTCTCAGACTGCGGCGATTAGGGCTCCTACTCTGAGCCAAGTGTCACTCTCTGGCCTTCTCAGGTCATGGCCTTCCTAAAAGGGCAAAGAGTCCAGACAGAGGGTCACGGGGACATTCCAGCCCAGAGGCTGTGCCATCTCCCCCGTCACCAGTACCTTCACGGGCATCCTTTTCAAGACCATCTTCCCGAAGTTAGACCACATTGCAAGGATGAGAACCCCTAAGCCTGGGGGTGTGAGCAGGGGTGGCTGTTTGCGGGAGAAATCAATGGAGCTGAGATATGCAGGCTGGGGTATCACCCTATGTGGGGGACAAAGCCAGGGATGGAAAGAGCAGGGGGACAGGGACATTGGCAACAGCGCTGCCCATCCTGTTCCTGCTTTGAAGTCCCAGGAACTGACAATTTCTGCATTGGAACCAGCCCTTCCCACTTGTCATAAATATACTTTTGTTAAGGTCAAAAACACATTGTGTTTAAAATTTTGTTCCTTTTATTTATATATATGTTATATATGTTATGTAAGAATTTGTATTCCTGCCCTTGGCTCTGCTCTTGGCCTAGGCTTGGGTAAATTAGTACTTCTGAAACAACAACTTATCTAGTAAATGGAGGCCATGTAATAAATGAGGATAAAACAATCTCCACTTCATAATTCGGTTACGGAGTAAATAAAAGAATTAAAAGAGATGAAAGCATATAGCACAGTGTCTGCCACACAGTAAGAACTCAACTAGGAAAGACAGTATCTTTCAGCATATTCCATTTTCGTCACCAAAGTTGTTGCATCAAACTCATGCAGAATCATTTTATTTCATTTAAATAAGTATTCACTATACTCATCATACCTCTCATGAGTTCAGCCCCTCAGATATATTAGAGCTTTCATTTTATGAGACTAATATTTCCTCTGAAATTATTCATTCTGTTGTTGAAATGAATAGCTTGGTGCCTTCTTAGCCAGCATGCCACATTTGTTTCTTTAACTATTTTATGCCATTTGCTTTTTTATATAAAATTTGCTCAGAAATATATTGGCATTGGGGTCACGAGCAGTAAAGGCCAGAATGGTTTTTATAGGTACCATACCTTAGATGTGTAACAGCACCTTACAGACCTTAGCTCTTCCATCTTTACCACCATCCTGTGAGCCCGTCCCCCTCTTGTGGATGAAAAAACTGATACTTAGAAGAGGTTGAACAACTTGCCCAAGATCATATGGAAAAATATAATGAAAAAATAAAACTTTTTTCTTAAGCAATGTGCATACTAGCCTCACCTTGCTTAAAGACAGCCTGCTTATACAACACTAAAGGATAAATAAAATATGCTTATCTACTTCATAGCTCACAGAGAGGGAAAATCCATTTTTCTATTTCAGAGTAGGGTCCTACTATATTTTGTATAAATTCACACAAATTTTTGGAAGAGTTAGCTTATACTTCGGGTCATCGAAAGGAAGACAGAAATTTGACGCGATTCTGTTCTTCCACCTGCACCCTATGGAGAAAAATTGCTGGATCAGAAAGGTGAATATGGGTGAACTGTGTGGAAGGAGGAGGGATTTTAAAAGTAACGGTGACAGACACGTTATGTTGTCTGAAATCAGTAAATCAAAGAATATCAAAAACCATAAGATCCCATAGTGGCCTATGCATCCTTTTCTCAAATATATGAGTCTTTGTCCCATTAAGGAGTGAAGATCGTGGGGGTACCATTGCTCTGGAGTTTGTCCAGATTTAGGTTGGCTAGTCGAGTGATGGGCTGAGGCTTCCTTGCCTGGCGCTTTTATTCATCCAATTCAATTCTAGCCTTGGAGATCCCCAAGTCCTGTCTAAATAATACCCAGAACTGAAGGGCTCCCGAGAGACATGGGAACAAACCCAATGGCTCCTAATTTAAGATGATGTGTGGAGAGTTAGAGAAATCCCAGTGTTCCCTTGCCTCACTCTAATTTCTTGAATGGGGATTTTAGGTGAATGCTAAAGACTCACACGCCCCAGTTTATTCTAATTAACGACCAGATTTTGTACACTCACAGCAGAGACGCTGTTGTGGCGTCCCGTGACAGGGCCTGAGTCCCATCTGCAGGTAAGATGAGGTGTCTGACATCTGTCCTCATGAGACCACTCACCTATTACTTATTCTCGGTTTGTATTTTACCTCAAACAAAACATTTCCCAACTATATTTTATTCTATTTAGGTTGCAGAAAGATGCAGGGATCTAAAATGCCCTATAAGAAAAGCATATTAAAATAATCTTGGGCTAGTTTTTTTCATTACTTCCCCCTTCTTTTTCTTTAAGTGTACTTTTTTAAATCAAAGTATAGTTGGTATACAACATTATATTGGTTTCACGTGTACAACACGTTATTAAATCCTCACCCCCACTAGTGTGGTCACTACCTGTCAACACGGGAAGATGTCACAGAACTATTGGCTATATTTTCCGAGTTGCATTTCCATCCCTGTGACCAACTTATATTATGACTGAATCTTGGGCTCTTTTAATTGCTATATACTTTAGACCAGAATTAAATTGAATCTATATTGATTTTAGCAGAAATCCTATTGTTAGATTTAAGAAAAATTCCATAAAAGCACTTTTGACATGCTGTGGCTTATTTTTCATTTTGGTGGACAGGAAAACAAAATAAAGGTTAATATTTAGTAATATTCAACTGCCCAGAGAAATCTACAGTAAAACTGTTGGGACTAGGATCAATTATAATTAAAATAGATCACTAAGGAATTAATTCTAGAATACAAAATAAAAGCATGTTCTGTCAATAAAAGTACAGGAGAGTAAACATATCTACATTCACATTTTTCTTACATGTTTAAGAAATTATAGAAAAGCAAATAGCTAGAGCAATCTCCCATTTTAAATATCATCACCTTTATAAATACTGATTAAATATTAAAATGAAAGGCCCAGATCAGACAAAAACACACTAATGTACATTTGTATGTTATAATAAAGAATATTTCATTTAAAATGTTTAAATAATTTTTTCAGGGGAGATATGCTCTCTCTCCAAATAAAACCACTGCCACTATATTGCTGTTTAGTATAAACAGTATGAAGAAATAAATTTACCTGAATTTCTTTCACCTATTTTACGACCTGGAGAAAAAAAAAAAGGGAGAAATTTCTGTTATTAGTAGCTTATTTGATAGATTTGCCAGTTAAAAGTGAATCTTGATTATAGCCATTTCTTGTCCTTGGGAGGTATTCTCAAAGAGATATGCTAATTGAATTAAATCCTCAGGTATGAATACGTACTTATCCATTGACCATGGTGCACACCTCCAGGGTAAATACCTCCAGGATACCCTCATAAAAGAGGAAGACCCCTTTGGTACTCCAGCCAGTTTAAAGTACAAAATAGAGGCATGAACTACATACAGAAAAAAAAAAAAAATTCTTAGATGACTAAAAAAGGTGCTTCAAAGCATTAATTATTATTCTGTTGGTGAAATGCAGAAGTTGCAGGTAAAAGATTTGTTTTCATGTGACAAAAACACAGGATGAATTACTAACTTAATTTGAATAAAATGGCTACAATTCCTATTTAATAGCTGGATACCAACATTCACGTACTCACAATAAGAAGGTCCTTTAGAACAAATGTCATTACAGATAAGCCCACAATTATTAGATCTAGAGATGGAAAAATATTTTTTATCAAATACATCAAAGCATCGGTCTCCAAGAGAATTTTTTCAGTAATTGTGTGAAATAAAATACTTATTAATGGCAATACAATTTTGCATAAAGTTGCAGATTGATTTCATTTTCAAGAAGCCTCAAAAAAAAACATTTTGGGGTAACATTTTTATTTTGGCACTTAGTGGATTAGATGTTTGTCGATTTTTTTTTTTAGTGTATCTCCATGCTCTATATCTTCACAAATTTCCTAAACCCAAACTGACCACATTATTCAAATAAAAAGTTAAAGTATATGTTCTGATAGTAAGATAAACTTTTAGAAATTGGAAATGTCCTGGAAAACCCAGAATTTATGGTCAGCAAACCTCTCTCAGAGATACAGGTGTTTTATTAAGTCAAACAGCAAACAGCCATTTGAAAGATAAAATATTTCCCATGTTTTCTGATGAATTGTTATCCAAAACAAAATCGTGCATAGTTATGCATACAAATATACACACATATTTAGCCAAAGACTAAGAAGACATGGTTTGGAGGCACTTAATATTTCTAAAGAAAAATCACACAGCACTCTCCATATAGGTTAAACACCTAGAAAACTCAAATTGTCTGAAATGTAGGTTGCAGTCAAGGGTCATGACCTTTGGTTTTCTTTTTGGTGCACCTCTATGCTCTATAATATTGCAGCAAATAGAGGTGTCACAAAACTCGTGTATGAACTTTACCCATCAAGAAAAAAAAATCCCTCGAGGCTTCCCTCAGAGGGAGCACTTTTACCACAGAGCTTGAATCCCTGGGGTTCTCATGCCAACAGCCTGAGATGCGTGAGAACTGCAGTGGGTGCAAAGCAGACATAATGAACCTGTCGGGACGTAGAGCTGGATGTTTAATAGAAGAAGGGGGACAGAAAGGCAGAGCAGAGCAAACACGGAAACTCAGAAATCCTGCCACTTGCAATGGCCAGGATGGACTTTGAGGGCATTATGCTAAGTGAAGTAAGTCAGAGAAGGACAAATATGGAAGATCTGACTTGTATGTGGAATCCAAAAACTCAAACTCAAAGAAGCAGACACTAACACGGCGGTTGCCCAGTGTCACAGGTTGGAGGAAATGGGAAATTAATGAGCAAAGGGTACAGACTTCCAGTTATAAGGTGAATAAGCTCTGGGGATCTAATGGAGAACTTGTGACTATAGTTAATGATCCTGTATTATATCCTTGAAAGCCTCTGAGAGAGTTGATCTTAAATGTTCTCACCATACAAAAAATGGTTATTGTAATTATGTGAGCGATGCAGGTGTTAATGAATCTTATTGTGGTAATCTTTTCACAATATATATGTGTATCAAATCATCACCTTGTGTATCTTAAACTCATATAATGTTATATGTCAATTATATCTCAATAAGCCTGAAAAGAGCTTTCTCTGTTCTAAAGGCAGCCTCAGACTACACCTTAATACCTCAAAGTAAAGATTAGCTCCTGAAATATACTGACCTGGGTTTCTTCTGTGAAACAGGGCTTTCCCATCTATTAAAAAAAAAGAAAAAAGAACAACCAGTTGAGTCATCTTATACCTTTTTGAGCATAATGTTTAAGACAATGAGAATAAGGTTCTTGTTTGCATTCTTCTTTTAAACTCAATATAAGCAATCTACTTCTATATCGAAAATTATAATATTTGAATGTGAATTTATTATTTTGAATGCCAACTCATTCTTGCAAATATATATGGCCAGATAAATTAAATCCACAAAGTAATATTAGCCAATACTTTATATCTTTCACACTATGTAAACATTTTGCAGCTGTCAATCTCAGGTATATTTTCTGATCTAAATTTCACTTGATTTTATTTTCCCTAAACATTTTTTGGTTAATGGGTCTATAAGCAGCAAATCAGACAAAAAAGACAAGAAGGAAAAAATAATGAGTTACACAGATTTAGCTCTACTGAGACTAAGAGTTAATTATATATATATATTTCATGCCAGATCCACATCGTGTGTCACTGAAGTTCTTTTTCATTTAGCCAGGAATTGTTTCTTAATTTTTTTTCACTTTGTACAACTATGATTGGTTAAATAATACAATCTTTTCTTCCGATTGATGATATGGTTGCCTCTTAAATATCTGCTTTCAGTAACTCCCAGTCCTCCAGCCTTTACCATTCTGGAATCTACTGAAAATGAGGGGTCTCTGTGTTTGGAACATAACATCAACTAAGATCAACAAAAATTCATTTCAACTAAGGCACCTGGAATTTCTGCAAAGAGCAGTTTTCCAGATACGTTTCATATGTCTCAACATAACCTTATTAATAAGTTCATAAAATCTCTATATTTTTTCAATAAATCACCAATATGAAAATCCTGTTGATATATTCATAACTACATCCAGAGTTATCATGGATATCCAGGAATTTACTTTAGATATATTCTCCAATCTGCTGGTGAATTTAATATACTTTACCAAATACTTTTAAAACGTTTGGTTGTGATTTTTCATTTAATAAATACTTTGAAGAAAATGTGTTTTGTGCTCTTTTAAGAAATAAGAAACACCCTTTATGCAAAACAGAAGGAAAGGATATAGGAAAGTACTATTTAAGATTACAAGAATCACCATTACTGAAGAAATGGTTTCCTAATGATCCATCAGACAGATTCCCAGGTAATTGGGTTAAGGATAGAAATACTTCCTTTTAATCACAACTCATAAATGTAGTCCTCTATATTATGGCTTCTCATAGAAAAGTGAAATACACCCAAGTCCCAAATTAAGAAGACAGATTTTCAGGTTAGGTATAGAACGAATCTCCTCTCTTTGCAGACCTTTCCCTCTATGTTGGGTCATAACTGGCTTTCTCCTGTTTTCAGAACAAAAGTACAGGACAAGAAACACATTTGTTCCTGAAGATTTTTTTCATTTTTGTCAATTTTTAATTAGCAAAATTAATTCATGATGGCTTACCTTTCAATTAATCTAAAAAATTAATTGACTTTCTGAAATATCCAGGAAAGTTGTTAGTTTAAGAAATACTTTTCCCTAGAAAATTTTCTTTTCATGATGAACAAAATCTTTTATTGGTGAATTTTTCATGATTTGTGAGAACCACAAGTACTGGTGAGGGTCTTTAGTCTAAATGTGGACTTAAATTCAAGATGGAGTCTGTGATGACAATGAGTAATAAATAATAGCAAAACATGCATCTTGAGTTAATGTGGTCACTAATATTTCTAAACAGATATAAAACAGGCATGTTAAAGCTGAAAGAATACCCAAACGGTTGAAAAATCTAATTTTCTTACTTATTATCCTTCTCTGAGGTGTAGGAAAGATTTCCCCTGGAGGAAAATGTTTGAAGTAGAAAACACTAAACATTTAAGCAAATATACGTGGTCTATCACATTTGAAAGGATTCTTGAAATTACTCCCTTACCTTTGCAGAAGACACAAAGTGCCACAGCCAGGCACAACAAAATCAACTTCGTCATGGTGGCCTGGAACCTAAAACCAGGGAGCAGTCATGCTGGAGAATCAGGTGGGATTTGCAAGGGACTCTCTACCTGAGTTTTTATACCCACACATACCACTGTCCTTTGTCATGGGATAGGTGTGGTTAAGTTAGTGATGACAGAGCAAAGATAAATATTGTTGCATGCCAAAGATGAAATCCATTTCAAGTCAGTTTAGCGTCTTATTTCTGTGACATTTTCTATCTGGGACCAAGCCCAGCTCACACCAAACCCAGACCATGCGTTCTTGCCACCCTGTGCAAACAGCGAAGGCAGGAACTAAAATCCCTAGGATTAAAAGCCAACTATGATGATGATATATGCATTTATCTGTATCCTATGAATCATTGCAAAAGTCTTAATACCTCGAGAAAGTCAAATACCATGATTAAATATTGTAATATTGTCTCTCCCTTAACAATTAAATATTATCTTTCCCTTAACAACAAAACTATTTTAAACGTCAATGTGCCTTGAAACAAAGAACTCTTTACTTATCAATATATTAATAGAGCTTTCCTTAGAGAAACATATGATTATCACATAGGTATAGATGTACCAAGACATAAAAATGTCTCATGGTTACAGTAACAGCTTTATACGAACAAGGATATACAATATCCCGATTTTAGGTGTGTTTACCATGAACTTTGTATCAGACATATAAATAAAAAATATATGTAAAGGGTAACATCAGGAAAAGAATGTTTTAGGATAAAAACAAAATTAGATAAAAAATACCACCCATGAATTATATACGTAGATATTTCAGGGTAGAAGGAGAAAGTTCAAATGAGGACATAAACAGAAGTCTGATCTGGGCTGAACAGACAGGGAAGGTCGACAATGAGAGGAATTCCCGACATCAGTGGGACGGGCCTGGGAAACAAGGGCTGACCCCACAGCTTTGATGTCTGCGTCTCAGCTTCTCCCGACCACAGCCGATGAAAGACTCCAGTAGTCCAAGGAAAGGAAGTCCTTGGTCTATTCTGTCCTGAAAAGCAGAGTCCCAGGAAAAGGGGGAAAATATGAGCAATCACTCCTTTCCTTCCTCTTATCCACTCATTTTACAACTAATCTAAAAGAAAGAAACAATGCCTGCTTTCGCAGAAGACCTCACCAGGACATTCTGCATGCTTTTACTCGTCTGCTTTCTGACCCCACCAAATCTACTTAGCCTACCTGCTGATGCCTTAGATCATTTTAAAAGAGGACAGAATTTCAACAGATTTAAAATTAAAAATGTATTTCCTTGTTGAAAGTAACACATTCACTGAAGGC